TAGGCAGGCATGTGGCCTTGGGCAGTGATTTCACCCCTCTGCCTTGAGCTTCCCGTCTGTAATGTGACATGAGGACAACACCTCCCGCACAGGCATGCCTGAGGATTAAGCAGGATCAGGTCTGATGCAAGCTCAGCACAGTGCCTCGCGCATGGCAGGTGATCACTGGGCTCTAGCGCTCCTCTCTCTTCAATGATTCCCTGCAAGTCAGCAGCCCAGCCCAAGAGCGGGAGACTGGAGTGGGGACAAAGGACTCCCACTCACTGTTGGGGTGTTTTCTTCCTCCTTCCCTGCTCATCTGGGTCTCCCTAGTGTGGCCCTAAAGGTTTTTCCTTCCTCAGGCCCCTCTGAGCCACTCCCTGCCCTAGTCCCTTGACCTGATTTGACATAAAATCTATTCTCTGTTAGGCTAAGGGGTGTGGTGATGGCAGGGGCAGAGCAAGGCAGGGGAGGCTACCTGGGTGACAGGCCTAGGTCTTGGCCCCTGATGGCCCAAGGGGCTGGGCCCCAAGACTGGGTTTCCTTCTCCACCCTGTCCCTGGGCTCCCTATGGCCTGGGGAAGGGACATTCCCAACAGACTCGGACTCAACATTCCTCTCTCTGCAGTCACTCAGCAGGACAGGGCAGTGGTGAGGAATGAGGGTGGCTGAGATGACATTCTGATACCTACGTAGTTCCCCAGAGTGTCACCTTGATGAGGTGCCCAGAGCTCCCGTGCAGCCTTACTCAGCGGACGGGTACTGAGGCCCGGGTTCAGCTGTAATTATTTGTCTGAATGTGACTCTGCCCACTAAACTGTGCACTTCCTGAGGGCAAAGCTCTGTGCTACTCATCTCTGTAGCCCCAGGCCCTGGCACAGCACCCTGGCCCACTAATGCCGCTCAAAAAACGTGTGGGATGAAGAGGCCAACGGGCACGGGGCCACCCCTCAGCCCTTCTGTGGCACCCATGACCCTGCTGGGGCTGACTCCCAGGGCTGCCCTCAGCTATCCCCAAACCACACCATTTCTTAGTCCAGAGAATGACACCTGTCGATCACAGAGTCCAGCCCAGTCTATCTCCTGGGAGTTCTGGAGTCCATCCTGGGTATCCCCCAAGTCTGGTCCCCACCCCTTGCCCAACTAACTCCTCAGCCTCCCTCCTTGGGTCTCCCTGTTTCTCCCCTGCCTTCGTCCAACCTGCCCCCCACTCTCCACACTCACTCCTGCCTGAGCCCTTTCTGGGGCTCCTGATGCCCTCCAGATAAAGTCCATGACTCTCCAGGGAGGGCCTTGAGGAGCTCCTCCCAACCCCAGCCTCTCCCCTTTGCCACTCCGGTCTTCCTCAGCTGGGGCCAGCCAGGGCCCTCGCTGGCTCCCCAACCCCTCATGCACTGTCCCCTGTTCCCCCATCCCCAGGGTCCTATTCTTTGTTTCACTGTCCGATCTCCCTGCTGGAACCTCAGCTCTCTCATGCAGGAGCCCCAGGGTGGAGCATACCATAGGCACTCCACAAGTGCTTGTACCATAGTACCATACCATGGGCACTGCATAAGTGCTTGTTCAATGCATGCGCAGTTGAATGGATTGCAGGGTAGAGACGGTGTCCTATGTCTCAGTAAACAGAGTGCCAGGCACAGCACCCAGACATAGTCAGCACTCAGGTGGAATGAGTGAAGGTAACAAGAAGGCAAAACTGGCAATCAGGACCCCTGAATTCTGCCCCAAGTTTCACACAGGGTGCCTGGCAGCCTTGTCCTTCTGCTCCAGAGCTCCACACCTAGCTTCTCCATCACTGACTACTCTACCAATGGCAGGTCCAACGCAGCACTTCAGTGGTGCGGTCCTTTCCACGTCAGACAACACTCTCACATGCACCCTCTCATTCAAGCCCTCCACCACCCTGCGGGTCCCACTTTTCCCAGACTCTGAGAGAGTACCAGGGCCCATGTGGTGGGGCACCACCAGCGTGCCAGTCACACTTTGCCCTTTGTTGGCTGTGTGGTCACAGGCAAATTCCTTGCTGTCTCTGAGTCAGTTTCCTCACCTGTGAAATGAGGATTCACCTCCCACCTAGGAAGTTGAGGAAGATTGCAAGACACCACCTGTGTAACCCACCAAGTGCCAGCTGCCTCTGATGTTCCAGTGAGCCACAGTTACATTCCTTCTCCACGACTGACTTCCCCAAATCTGACATGAGAGCCTTGGCTTTCGGGCTTTCTCACTGGTTAGACCAGTCCTGCCAGGGCAGTGTGGCTGTGGCTGCCCCTGTGGGGCGGCGGGTTGGAGGGCTGCTGCGGAGGCCAGCCTCTTCTGCGGAGGCCAATCACAAACTCGCATCCTTCCTAAGGGCTGCCAAGACCCCGAGACACCCTGGCAGACCCTAGATACTGCTGGGGAGCCGGGCGAGGGACACTCCAAGCCTCCCTCTCCCGCTCCACTCTCCCTGGGGACCCCACCAGCGTCCCGTGCCCGAATTCGCGCTCCAGACGCCCCGCGGGCGCCCCCTGGTGGGAAGCAAAGAGCATCCTAGGCGCCCGGCTCGCCCCGGGACTCTCGCGGATGACCCCAGCTGCGACCCCCGGCTGGACGGCGCTGGCCCTCCGCCACTAGCCATAGCCTCCCAGCCCCGTACAGCCTGGGGAGTCCACGAACTGCTCCCTGGAGCGCCCCAGACTGGGCCCCTGGGAACGGTCCGTGCCCACCCCACCGCCCCCTGCCCGTCACTGACCCATCTTCTTCAGCGCCCGCAGCCCGGGCCTCTTGGTGCCGCCATCGGAGGGAGTCGGCGGGGACGGGAGCGCGACCGGCGCCGCGACTTGGGCGGCTACCGGGGGCTCCTCGGGCGGGCGGCGGCAGCGCCTCCAGCGGCCGCACAGCATGGCTTGGCAGGGGGCCGGGGCCGGGCCCGGGGTCTGCACACGGGGACAGGGCAGCGGGGCGCCGCTCCGGCCCGGCCCCAGCTCTGAGCGCGGCGGCGAGCGAAGAAACTTAGCAGCGCTGGAGACAGTCGGAGGAGGCAGCAGGAGGTGGGGCGGGATGGGAAGGGGGCGGGTCCAGGGCAGCGCGGGGGCGGGGCCAGGCGGTGGCCTGGACCCTCGGAGCCTCAGCGCTCACCCCAGCTCGTGAGTCCGCCTCCCCTCAGTCCCGGCGAGCCTCTGATCTTGGCCGTGACAGTGACCAGAGCCCCCATGCTGCGGGGCTGGGGTTGGGAGCCGGCACCGGGGACGAGGGCCGTCCTCTGGCACAGACACCCTCTCCTTCCCGGGGACCCTGACTCGAGGCGGACGCGGGACCCCCTCCTCCTTCCCTTCCGCGTCCGCGTCGTGCCGCAGGCCTCAGCAGGGAACCAGACCCGGGACGGGACGCAGGGCCGGGAGCGAAGGCAGAACCCCAGGAGCTGAGCCGCGCGAGGCAGCGCGAACCCGAAGGGATGGGCATGGGGGTGGGGGGGGGGTTGGCAGTGACGTCATAGGATTAACCTCCCTGTGCCAGGCCAGGTGCTGCCCCCTCGGAGAGCCACAGTCTCGGAGCTGACGGACCTGGGAAGCGTGAGGCGGAGCCAAGCCTGGGGTCCCCAGCAACTGGTTCTGGGTTCGAGGCTTAGACAGGCCGGCACCCCAGCCTGGCACCTGCGATGTAGTTGTCCGCGATGTCAACCCGTGGGTGGGCATTCGCGTGCGGGTTCTGGTGGCCGAGTCGGGTGTGCACTTATTAATTATATGCAAGCACCAGAGTGCGTGCGCGAAGTGGGGGACGTCCAGGTGGCAGCGTTTCTGCAGCGGGTGGCCTGGGTCCGGCAGAGAGATGGGCGCACACCGCCACTCAGCGGCGGCCAGCGGCGTGGCATCCTACAGAGAGGCTAGTGCTCAGGGCCTGGATTTGCCACCTGCTTGCCCTGCTCTACCCCATCCTCAGATCCCCCACGCCCAGAGATTCCGCACTCTGGCTTGGGTCCCTACGCCACTCTGGGGTCCTGAATTTTCTTCCTAATTATCGTCTTCGCCTTTGTACTTTTGATCCTACCATTCCTTCCTCCAGGAACAACCCTTCCTTATTCTCCTGGTTTACTCTTTTGTCGTTGTTGTTGTTGGATAAGCTAAGTCTACATTTCTTTTAATTGTTATGGATACTTAATAGTTGCAGAGAATTTTGAAAATGCATGTGATGTTTTGGTACAGGTATAAAATGTGTAATGATCAAATCAAGGTAATTGAGGTACCCATCACCTCAAGCATGTATCATTCCTTTGTATTAGGAACATTCCAATTCCACTTCTAGTTATTTTTATTTGTATTTTATTTATTTGTTTATTTACTAGAGACAAGTTCTCACTACTTGGTTGCCCAGGGTGGAGTGCAGTGGCATTATCAGAGCTCACTGCAGCCTCAAAGCAATTCTCTTGCCTTGGCCTCCCAAAGTGTTGGGACTACAGGCCTGAGCCACCATGTCCCATCCAGTTATTTTGAAATATACAATAAATTGGCCGGATGCGGTGGCTCACGCCTGTAATCCCAGCACTTTGGGAGGCAGAGGTGGGACGATCACTTGAGGCCAAGTATTGAAGACCAGCCTGGGCAACATAATGAGACCTCTGCCTCTACAAAAATTGTTTATAAAATAATTAATTTAAAAAGATACAATACATTATTGGTAACTATAATCGTTGTATTGTGCTACCGAATACCGAATACTGGATCTCATTCATTCTAACTGTATTTTTGTACCCATTTCCCCCCCTCCCCAGTACCCTTCCCAGCCTCTGGTAACTATCATTCTGCAATCTACATTTTGCTTTTTTTTTTTTTTTTTTTTGAGATGGAGTCTCACTCTGTCGCCCAGACTGGAGTGCAGTGGGGCAATCTTGGCTCACTGCAATCTCCACCTCCCGGGTTCAAGCGATTCTCCTGCCTCAGCCTCCGCAGTAACTGGGATTACAGGCACGCACCACCACGCCCGGCTAATTTGTGTATTTTTAGTAGAGACGGGGTTTCACCATGTTGACCAGGCTGGTCTCGAACTCCTGACCACAGATGATCCGTCCGCCTTGGCCTCTCAAAGTTCTGGGATTACAGGCATGAGCCACGGTGCCCGACCATCTTCCAAAACTCAACTGTGATGTCCCTCCTCCAGAACGCCTGACGACAGGACATGACTTTTTTAAATCCCCAGTGCCTAAACGTCTAAAGAGCTGAGTGGGTTGCCTAGGATCGGCCAGGCCTGCATATCCGCGAGCAGATGCGGATTTCCACCAGGGGGCGCTAGGACGCCACGACCTTTCACTATGTGCACCAGGGGGCGCTGCCGCCCGCCTTGGCCATCCCGGACTGGGAAGTCCGACCCTAGGATTAAGCCCCGCCTAATTGGGAAAGGCTCTGAGAAACTATTTGCATTATCTTGAAAGGGCCGTGCTGAATGGTTGAGGTAGATAAGCCGACTGTGAAACAAGCTCTCTCATTGGCTTAAATTTCCCCCCTCGCTCTGCGTCGCCATCCCGGCCCTGCTGGACACCGGGGACAGTAGGAAGCCGCGGGGTGGTGGCGAGAGAGGACCCAGGTGTCCCGACAGTGAGCGCCGCGGGGCGCAGGCTGGGCCAAGGTGCAGGCGGCCAGGGTGGGAGACTGTTCGCCCCGCCCTGACTCCTCCTCTCTTCTCTGCCAGTCCAGGAGTCGGAGATGTGCAGCTAAAGAAAGCGCATCTGGGGACGGACATATCTGGCACTGCAGCCCTCGCCACCTGCCTCTCCACCCACCGAGGCCCTGGCGACCCTGGCCCCACCACGCTACCTTGAGGTAGGAAAAGGAGGCTCCTCAACCACAACTTCTGACCTCCCAGGGTGTCTCCCTCGGGCCTCTGAAGAGCTTAGTTTGCCCCTCTGGGAAGTGGATCCTTGGCTTCTGGTGCCGGGGGTACCCTGGAGGCCCCCTCACACGAAGGCTGCTTCTTACAGAGTCGCTCGAAAGTAGGGCCCCAGGGCTCGCAGCAGCATGGGCACCGAGAGAGAAAGCCCAGAGCCCGACTGCCAGAAACAGTTTCAGGCTGCAGTGAGCGTCATCCAGAACCTGCCTAAGAACGGTGAGGCTGCGGGGACTCGCATTTGGACTCGCATTCAGGACGCCTGGGGTCTGACTCTGAAGAAAGAATGGTCCTGATCATTGTAGTTTTTACAGACGCCCCTGCCTGAGCTGTCCTGGGGGTTCCCTCCACTTCCTGCCCCAGTCCAGATGCCCTGGGTGGGACCCATCTCCACCTCTGCCCTTTCCAAGCGGGGTTCTCCCGCCCCTCCGCCCCTTGGAGCTGGGAGTGATGTTCTGCCCTGGCTTCCGAACTCTGCCCAGGTTCTTACCGCCCCTCCTATGAAGAGATGCTGCGATTCTACAGTTACTACAAGCAGGCCACCATGGGGCCCTGCCTGGTCCCCCGGCCTGGATTCTGGGACCCCATTGGACGATATAAGTGGTGAGCTCCCGGCTGGCTGGGCAAACAAGCCTCAGCTGTCAAGCAGCCCTCTCACAGCCCTCTGCCCCCAGGGACGCCTGGAACAGTCTGGGCAAGATGAGCAGGGAGGAGGCCATGTCTGCCTACATCACTGAAATGAAACTGGTGGCACAGAAGGTAGGGGCTGCAGGTTCTCTGTCCCCAGGCTCCTGGACAGCTGGCCTGCCCCTTGCCCTTCCAGTTCTGACCCCCACTACATTTCCTAAACATGGACCCCCTCGTGGGAATCACCACCTTCATGTTACCCCCAGCCCTGCCTATCTTTGGCCCCTGACTGGGCACAGGGTGGAGGTGTGTGACAGGGCAGGAGCAGGGCGGAAGGGACAGGAGGCCACTCTCTCCCCAACAGACCCCCTCCCCCACAGGTGATCGACACAGTGCCCCTGGGTGAGGTGGCAGAGGACATGTTTGGTTACTTCGAGCCCCTGTACCAGGTGATCCCTGACATGCCGAGGCCCCCAGAGACCTTCCTGAGAAGGGTCGCAGGTCAGACTCCCAGGCTGGGAGCTCCAAAAGTGCTGAGTGAACTCAGGCTAGGTCTAGCCTGAGGTGGGCTGGGGGCAGAGGGCTCCAGGTGACATCCCTGTTAGAACCCCCACACCCCTGAGAGGTGGATCTCAGGCAGCATCCATGGCTCATCCCGAATAGGGGCTTGATCACACTGGGAGGTGCCAACCTCTCCCCAGCCCCACCTCTGGGTGCTGTGTCTTGGCAGGTTGGAAAGAGCAGGTTGTGAATGGAGATGCTGGGGCTGTTTCAGAGCCTCCCTGCCTCCCCAAGGAACCGGCACCCCCAAGCCCAGGTTAGTGCTTAGGCAGGAGGGGTGGACCAAACCAGGCTGGGGGAGGGCTGGAAGGGAGAAGGCTGGATGCCACGCTGTGCCCTCCACAGACACTGAGACTTCCTGTGCTCCCAAAGGCAGGGACTGGGGTCTAGGATTCCTGTTCCAGGGCCTTGCTTCTGGTGCCCATCTGTGCCTCAGGTGGTGATATCTCCAGTGCCTTGTATCTCTAGTGTCTCCTAAACAGTTGCTTCTGTCCAGTGCACACCTCTGCTCTCCGTCCACAGCTTCCCTCTGGGCAGTAACTCTACCAATCCCTCCACAGAGTCCCATCCACCCAGAGACCTGGACTCCGAGGTTTTCTGTGATTCCCTGGAGCAGCTGGAGCCTGAGCTGGTGAGACCAGTCCCCATTCCCCTTTTTCCCACTCTGCTGTGCTCCCACTCCCACCCTCAGCCCTCTGACTCATCTCAGCAGGGTTGGGCAGAGCAGCAGGCAGCATCTGGAGGAAAGCGTGATCCCAGGAACAGCCCCGTGCCCCCTACAGAGAAAGGTGAGCTCCTGCCCAACCTTTCACCCACTTCTGCCTTTTCCTGTGGTCTTGGCATCCCAGGCCTTCTCTTGGCTGCCTTCCTAGGGCAGAGGTGAAAGTCCATTGCTGGGCACTGAGCGAGAAGCCTCTGTCCAGGAGGGGCTGCCAATCAGCCAGATACCTGCCTGGGTGGGCAAAGTCCCCGCCCCCCCTCCTGTCCCCAAAGGGCACCCAGGAGTCTGTACCCTCTGCAGGTGCTGAGTAAGGCCAGCGGGATGGGAGTCCTAGCCCAGCTCTCCCACCTACAGCTGCACAGCCTTGGGAAGTCATCTATACTCTCTGGAACCCCCGTTTGGAAATCTCAGAAGACAATGAGTTCTGCCCTCTTCCCTTCTAGAACTCCTGTTGTGTGTTAGGTCCTGTATGGACATTTTCAAAAGTATCTCCTTTATTCCTCTGAGCAAGCAGCCCTGTGAAGGAGATGACATCTTCTCCTAATTTTTAGATGACAAAATGATGCCCAGAGAAGTTAATGACTTTGGCCGGGCTTGATGGCTCACGCCTGGAATCCCAGCACTTGGGAGGCCAAGGCAGGCAGATCACCTGAGGTCAGGAGTTTGAGACAAGCCTGGCCAACATGGTGAAACCCTGTAGCTACTAAAAATACAAATATTAGCCAGGTGTGGTGGGTACCTATAGTCCCAGCTATTCGGGAGGCTGAGGCAGGAGAATTGCTTGAATCCAGGAGGCGGAGGTGGCAGTGAGCCGAGATCATTGTGCCACTGCACTCCAGTCTGGGCGACAGAGCAAGACTGTCTCAAAAAAAAAAAAAAAAAAAAAAAAGTTAATGAGTTGACCTGCATCATAAGCGGCCGTGCTGGGATTAAACCTCCAGCAGCCCATTACTCAGCTACATAGATGGACTTTGCAAGAATCACACTTGGTCCAAGGATTGGGTTCCACTCCCACACTTTCCTGGGCTTGCCCCAGCCTGCCGCCCCACTTCCCAGAGCTGAACTGCCTCCTGAGCCCCCTTCCCTGTGTGTCTGTGCTCTGCAGAGGGGAGCACAGCAGGGCCCCAGGAGTTGGACGTGTGGCTGCTGGGGACAGTTCGAGCACTACAGGAGAGCATGCAGGAGGTGCAGGCGAGGGTGCAGAGCCTGGAGAGCATGCCCCGGCCCCCCGAGCAGGTGAGTCCCCCACCCCATCGGACAAGATGACGGCAGAATCTGGTCTCTGTTCTGGGCTCCTCATCCAGCCCCTTTTGTTTTTGTCCTCACGCCTCCACCTGCCCACCTCTCTCTCCAGAGAATGGCGTGGCTCCTGCAGCAGACAGGAGGTGGGGGTGAGGGTGGAGGGGGCTGACGTGCTTCCACTCTGAAGGCAGAGTGGGCGGGGCCCTTTGCCGTTCTCCCCTCCCTCTGCCTGGAGAGAAGCTAAGCCGCAGGACTAATCCCGCGTGGGAAGGTCATGATGTGTCTGCTCTGGGCATTGAGGACGCTGGTCCCTGTTGTCCCTCTGTCAGGTCTTCCATTCCCAGAATTAGGATTTGCCCCAAATGGTTCAGCCCTTGCATCCCTCTCACCTCCTAGCTCTGCTTGCCCCTGACACTTGGGCTCCTGGGCTTCTGCAAACTAAATAACAGCTGCCATTGCTGGAGCCCCGCTAGGCGCCAAACACTCATGGGCATCTTCCCACTGAATTCACACAACAGCCCTAGGGATAGTTTCTTTTCACCTCCCTTTTAGAGAGGGAAACTAAGGCTCCAAAGGGCTAATTTGCCTGAGGGCACACAGCCTGGGACAGCCTCTCTGAGCTGCTGTGAGGATTCAACCATGCATGTTGGTGCTTCCGTGGTGCCCACCACACAGAAAGCCTTCTCCAGTCGGTTCTGTTGCTACTATTGCTGTTAATATTAACACTAAGCGATGGAGTTGGCAGTGGTCCCTAGTCTGTCTGCCTGCAAAGCTGGTACCCACCATTAACTCTGAGCGGGTCTGTTCTTGAAAAGCCTGAGGTGGTGGGGGCAGGAGAGGGCTGGATTCTCAGATGTGAGGGGTCTCTGGGGTGATCTCTAACCCACTCAGCACAGCAGGGGTGAGCCCACAGCAGCAGGATTTCCTCAGATCCACGATGGCTAACTTTTCAACACTGCCCCTCCCCCTCAACAGGGCTTGCTTTCTTTTCTTTTTTTCTGTTTTTTTTTTGTTTGTTTGTTTTTAATTTTGAGATGGAGTCTTGCTCTGTCGCCCAGGCTGGAGTAGAGTGGCATGATATCGGCTCACTGCAACCTCCGCCTCCTGGGTTCAAGTGATTCTCCAGCCTCCAGAGTAGCTGGGACTACAGGCGGCACCACCATGCCCGGCTAATTTTTGTAGTTTTAGTAGAGATGGGGTTTCACCATGGTCCCCAGGATGGTATCAATCTCTTGACCTCATGATCCACCCACCTCAGCCTCCCAAAGTGCTGGGATTACAGGTGTGAGCCACCACGCCAGGCCCCCTTTTCTTTTTTTCCTACCATTTACTACTTTTAAATGTTGAAGATTTTAAAGTAGATTACAGACCAGCATGGTGGCTCACACCTGTAATCCCAGCACTTTGGGAGGCTGAGGAGGGAGGATCTCTTGAGACTGGGAGTTCAACACCAGCCTGGGCAACATAGCAAGATCCTGTCTCAAACAAACAAACAAGCAAAAACAGATTATAAACATCATTATGTTCCACCCCGAAAGAGTTGGGTTCATATCTCTCAAAATAGGCCAGGCGTGGTGGCTCACGCCTGTAATCCTAGCAATTTGCAGACCAGCCTGGCCAACATGGCAAAACCCGGTCTCTACTAAAAATACAAAACTTAGCTGGGCGAGGTGGCAGGCACCTGTAATCCCAGCTACTCAGGAGGCTAAGGCAGGAGAATCACTTGAAACTGGGAGGCAGAGGTTACAGTGAGCCGAGATTGTGCCATTGCACTCCAGCCTAAGTTACAGAGCAAGACTCCGTCTCAAAAACAAACAAAAAAACATATCTCTGAAAATAAGAACATTCTACCTAGCCCAAACATCATATTATACACAATTATTAATTTCTTAATATCATGAAATATCCAATCGAAATTCCAATTTCTCCAGTTATCCTGAAACCACCTTTTCCAGCTGCTGTTTTTCCAGTCTAGGACCACACATTGCATCTGTTCCCTTTTCAATTCTCTGTTAATCTAGCTTAGTCCTTCTCCTTGCTATTGACTTGCTGACCAGTCTGAGCTGGTGTCCTATAGAATGTTCCACCTTTTGGGTCTAATTACATCCTCATGGGTGGTTCCTCGATATACATTTCCTATGAACTGGGGGTTAGATCTAAACACTGGATTAGAGTCAAATAAACATTTGGGCCGGGCATGGTGGCTCACGCCTGTAATCCCAGTACTTTGGGAGGCTGAGGCAGGCAGATTGCTTGAGCCCAGGAGTTTGAGACCAGCCTGGGCAACATAGTGAGACCCTGTCTCCACAAAATATATTTTTAAAAATTAGCTGAGCATGGACTGAAGCAGGAGGATTGCTTGAGCCCAGGAGATTGAGACTGCAGTGAACTATCATGGTGTCATTGCACTCCAGCCTGGGCGACAGAGTGAGACCTTGTCTCAAAAAGACACAAAACACAAAAAACCGCAACATTTTGGACCAGACTACATCAGAGGTGATGTTTTTTCATGGCAGAGGACACATGCTATCTGGATGTCCCACCATTAGTAACTCTAGCATGGACCACTGGCATGGCTGAAGGGAGTCTGATCCCACCATTGTAAAGTCATGTTTTGCTCCTGCAGTCAGATAATATCCAGTCCCGCATCAACTCCATTTGCCAGTTTTTGACAATTGCTAATCCTTGCCTGAGTCAATAATTTAGTGATTGCCAAAAAAAAGCTGACTTTTAAATGCTACGGTTCCTTTAACATCTATTAGCTATCATTTGTGTACTGTTTCCCTCATCATCTTGGGTTTCCCTGAAATACAGTGGAAAGGAAGGGTAAATGCTTCATTCTTTATCTTTAGTTATCTATTTTTAAAGTAAGAAATTAATTTAGGCTGGGTACCGTGGCTCACACCTGTAATCCCAGCACTTTGGGAGGCTGAGGTGGGCGGGTAGATCACCCGAGGTCAGGAGTTTGAGACCAGCCTGACCAACATGGTAAAACCCCATCTCTACTAAAAATACAAAAATTAGCTGGGCATGGTGGCAGGCCTCTATAATCCCAGCTACTCAGGAGGCTGAGGCAGGAGGGCAGGAGAATCGCTTGAACCCAGGAGGCGGAGGTTGCAGTGAGCTGAGATTGTGCTGCCGCATTCTAGCCTGGACGACAGAGCAAGACTCCATCTCAACAAAAAAGGAAAAAGAAAAAAAAAAAAAGGAAAAGAAAGAAATTAATTTAAAAGCCACCTACCTAAATGGTGACAAAATTCCAGTTTTCTTTTGAGTATCACTGTGGGCTCATGGATTTCACAGATTCTGTATTCCCAGGAGCCCCAGTCATTCTTCTTCTTCTTCTTTTTTTTTTTTTGAGATGGAGTCTCACTCTGTCAGTCAGACTAGAGTGCAGTGGCACGATCTTGGCTCACTGCAACCTCCGCCTCCCAGTTCAAGCAATTCTCTGCCTCAGCCTCCCGAGTAGCTGGGATTACAGGTGCCTGCCACCATGCCCGGCTAATTTTTTTGTATTTTTAGTAGAGACAGGGTTTCACCATCTTGGCCAGGCTGGTCTTGAACTCCTGACCTCATGATCTGCCCGCCTCAGCCTCCCAAAGTGCTGGGATGACAGGTGTGAGCCACCGCGCCCAATCTGCCACAGTCATTCTTTTTGATGCTCAGTCACAACTTTGGCCATTCGAGACCCTTTCAAACCAGGTCCTATGTTCTTATAACACGACCTGATGAATCTTTAAAAGTGGCCTTGCTTTCCTGGTACAAGGCGCCCCACATTCACTCCCACCTTCCCTGCCCTAGGCCTGGAATCAACCACTTCTCCAAGGAGCCTTGGCTCCTTTTTAGTGGAGAATGATAGTTGGAAACTAAAATCTGGGTACCCAGGGTCCTCATTTGAAATATGTGGCACATCCTTAACAACAGAAGTCTTCAGGTAATACCAACGGTCATTGCTTTGTGGCCCAGAGAAGATGGCATGGAAGCCGCTCCCTCTACCCACAGCCTTTCCAGCCTCTCTTGACACTGGGATTGCCCTGGGAAGGAAGATATGGGAGGGAGTTGGCATTCAACCTGTCAGGACCACCTGGGGGCCACTTCCCTTCTAGTGTTGCAGACTTGGGGCAGGGTCCTTCCAGTCTCCCACTGAATTGGAAGCAGGTTCCTAGGGAGGTTGTGCTGAGGCCTGGACTGGCCTCTGACTCCTTCCCTCTTGGCTGCAGAGGCCGCAGCCCAGGCCCAGTGCTCGGCCATGGCCCCTTGGGCTCCCGGGGCCCACGCTGCTGTTCTTCCTCCTGTGGCCCTTCGTCGTCCAGTGGCTCTTCCGAATGTTTCGGACCCAAAAGAGGTGACTGTCATTGGAGGGGTCTCTGCAGCCAACTGAGACTATCTTGTGTGCCATGAGCCTTCCTAGGGTTTAGAAGAACAGCATTCAAAATTCCCCCTCCTGTCAGTGTTTGCCTTCGCACCTCCTCCCCTAACGCAGCGCGGGGTGCAAATAAGACCCCACCCCTCCCTGCACCTTCATAGGGACGCTTCCTTCCCTCCCCGCAACCACCCCAGGCTTTCCTGGGAGGATGCAGTTGTGGTGCACGTCCCCGGTGCTGGGTTGGCCGTGACTCGGGGGCGGGGCTATCGGGTCTCAGCCCCTGCCCTCCCCACCCTCTGGGTCACCTGACTCTCTTCCCACCCCTGCTTCTCCCCGAGGAGGTTCAGCTCTTGGGCAAGTTGGGACTCGGGCCGGGGCCTGGAAGAATGATTGGCTGGGAGGCTGCGGGAGGGAGGCCAGGAGGCCCCGACCAGTTGGGAGGAGGGAGCAGGCCCCGGGGGAGGGGGATGAGCGCAGTTTGCTCGTCTTCCTCCCCTGCCGGCCCCCTCCGCCCCCACACACACTCAGGACGTCTTCACTGAAGATTCACTTACAAACGAATGTTTCACTCAATAAAAGAAAACCATAATCTTCTACTGTCTGGTCCCCTACGGAGGGAGCGGGGAGCGGGGCCTGGAGCGGGAGAAGCACAAGTCCCTTTCCTGCTCCCCACCCAGTGCCCCCTTGATGGCCCTGAAAGAGGCCGGCGGTTGGTGTTTCTGAATGGGGAATATTTTCCCTCCTCCCTGGGCAAGCGAAGGGAAAACAGGCCTCGGTGTGGAGGGGAGAGGGAGGGGAACCAAGGGTGGCTCGGGGCGGGAGGGGGGGCACCCTTGGGAGGGCGGAGCCCTGCCCGCCGCCCCGTCGGGGACGCGGGGTCCGAGCGAGCTGGGGGTGGCGGGGAGGAGCGGAGCAGGGCTGGGCGGGGTCGAGGAGCTGGTTTGGCCCCCGCCCGAAGGGGACGGCGGCAGCTCCAGCTCCGCGCCCCGGGCGTAGGGATGGGGTTCGGAGCCCCAGGCCCCAGAAATGTCCGCTGCCCCCTCCTCAGCTGCCTGTTCCTGGTGCCCCACCTTGACCTCTGGGCCTGGGCCTTCCCAGGGAATTTTCTGGAAGGCCAAGGCCCGGCGAGAACCTCGTCGTCGCCCAGCCCTGAGTAGAGGGCAGGACGCTGCGCGCCTGGAAGCCCCCGTCGGGGCGGGCCGAGCGCCCGCGTGCACTCGCCTTCCGGGGGGTACAGGCCAGAGGCCCTGGCCTCCCTCTGTCAGCACCAGCTCTGTCGTCCGTGGGCCGCCTTGGCTCAAGCCACGGCCCGGCCTGTATTCAACGGCGAAACTGGCCGCTCTGGGCGCCGCCTGGTGCCAGCGCCTCCAAGTCCACTGGCCAGGGTCCCTACCAGAGTCCCCCGCCGCTGCCACCACCTGGGCCCTAGGATCTTCCTATCCCCGGGTAAGGAAGAGGCAGTTCTGAAGGTCCCTGGCTGAGATCCTTACACTCTTGAGTTCCCTGTCAGCCTCTAGTCTTGACCACCGCCCCAGGCTTGGCCATCATTGACCCCACTGGAAGCCACAGTCACTCTTTAGTCGTCAGTCCTCTCCAAGCCGGGAAGGCATCCCTGAGGCTAGACGGTGCACTCTGCACGGCTCAGCCCAGGGTCACAAGCACAGGCTGAATAGCCCCTGTGATATGGCTGGACTGCAGCAAGCAGGACAGACAACAGCAGGGCCACCTTGGTGGGGGATGCAGGCCCAGGGCTGAGGCCAGCTCCACTACTTGCACAGTAGCTGTGGAACTTGGGCAAGATTTTTTTTTGAGACTGAGGCTGGCTTTGTTGTCAGGCTGGAGTGCGGTAGTGCGATCTCGGCTCACTGCAACCTCTGCCTCCCAGGTTCAAGCGATTCTCCTGCCTCAGCCTCCCTGGAGTAGCTGGGACTACAGGCACATGCCACCACGCCCGGCTAATTTTTTGTATTTTTAGTAGAGATGAGGTTCACCGTGTTAGCCAGGATGGTCTCGATCTCCTGACCTCATGATCAAAGTGCTGGGATTACAGGCGTGCGCCCCCGCCCCCAGCTCTTGGGGAAGATTCTTAACTGCTCTGGGCTTGGGTGGCCTTGTTTGTGAAATAGGGTTGATCTCTTCTTCATAAGGCAGTCCTGGGGTTTACCAGTGATGGGGCATGTTAAATGTCTGGCAAAGGGTTAGAACCCAGCTAATAGTAAAGTTGCCTGGCCCCTTGACAGAATTCTAGAATTCCACAAGCTATTCCTCAGTCCACCTCTCCCCCAATATGACAAATGAGACCATACAATGGAGCCCAGTCCAGGACACTGAGGCTGGGCTCAGCTGTACCTTCCAAATGCCCCAAATTGGGGTACCCCAGAATCATCTGGGGTCTGAAGATGTGGTAACAATTTGGAGGTCTCTGTGATAACCAAGTTCTCTGCAAAACCCCTTTTTCCTCCAGGAGTGCTCTGAGGGGCAGTTCTTGCTCTCAGGAAGCCTGCTAAGGGATGAAGCCACACAGAGCGGGGAGCTTTTCAGGTGGACCGGAGTTCTTGGAAGCCCAGAGAAAACAAACGAAAGTGTTCATTTTCAGAACATACAGCTGTGCCCAGAGGCCCGCGTGCTTGCGGCTCCCCTTAGAGGCGTCTACATTGGCCATGCCCATCACCACTGGCCCCCGCCCCCCCTCCATATCTCATACTGCCCCAGAGCCACCGAGGTCCCAGACTAGCCCTTTCCTGGCACATAATGCTTGGTCTTCCTAAAATGCCCCTCTTCATGCCATTTTGCCTGAAAGTTCTTCATCCTTCAGAGCCAGCCAGGAAGTCACTTGCTCCTGACACTTGTCCATAATTCCCAGCTCCCACGCACTCAGCTCATTGGCTCCCACCGGGATTTCCCTCACTTGCCATTTTGGCTGGCTGTGGTCTGATGGCCTCTCCACAGTCCATGAGCAACTTGAAGGCAAGGATGGCATCCCACCCCTCTTTGTACCCTCCTGGGTGCCAAATGATATAGGGGCCGAATAAGGTTGAAGTTGTTGGGAATGAAAAGAACGAAATCCAGAGTTTTCCCCGATTTTAAGAAAAAACGGGGTTTTGTGTTTGTGACAGAAAAATGGCATGGGGAGGTCACAAAGACCCGCGCTGTAGCCAGAACTGCCCCATGGTTGTCATGTGACCTTGGACAAGTCACTTATTTTCCGGGTGTCTTAGAGATGCCTTATCTGCAAAATGGAGACAGTCATTCCTATCGTGCCTAACTCGCCAGGCTGTGGTGAGGTCACATGGTTCTGTGCGTAAAAGGTGCACAGTGCAAACGTGCTGGAATGCCAGGGATGCTATTAAGGAAGCAGTAAGAAGGGTCACTGGGTGTGTGGCGAGGGAGAAGTGGAAAGGGCGCCAAGATTTTAGGTCCCAGTGACTGGTATGGAGGGTTCTCTGGGTCCTCTCAGTCCCTGTTTATGGAGGGCAGGGCGCTTGGGTCTGGAGAATTTCTCTCTGAGAAACTATGCCCCCGGGGGAATCGGCCCCCCAGCCCTGCGCCAGAATCCCCTGCCGCAAGTTTCGGGGCAAGGTCTCCACCATGCTTCCCTCCCAGTCTTGCCCAGCGCCCACTTATGAGGAAGGGCCTCTGCAGGTGAGACCGGCTTCCCTCTCGGATAGCCAGGGCTGATGATTTCAACTCATTAATCATTTCGAACCTTTCCCAACAAACAGCCTCATGGCCGGCCCAAACCTCCCCTGTCCCGGCTCAGGAAATGATCTCGGTCGGAAGTGAAAAGACCAAATCGGCCCCAGGAGGCCATTTTCTTCGACAGAAGCTGAGGCCTGGGGGCGAGGCCTTCCCCCTGCTTCCCTTCCATTCCCCCGCCCCCACGCTTTCCGATCTCGGCCCAAAGAAGAGGCTTGGCCGCGAATCACCGGTTTGCATTGGCCCCTGGGGCGTGGGCGGCTTTCTGAGACCAGGCTGGGGCTGGGACTCCACCACCTTCAGCTAAGGGTACCGAAGTCTGTCCGGGAGTCGGCGTCACCGGGACTCGAACCTGCCTTTTCGTCTTCCGAGGCCTAGTGCGAACCTGCTGCGCTAAACTCAGTCACACTGTCCCTTTAAGGCGGCACTTTTTATTCTTCATTTGTTTACTTCTTCATGCGCTTTTCGTTCTTTACAAAATGTGCTCGCGATATCCTTCCGCAAGTGTCAATCTCAGGCACTCACCAGCCGCCTTGAAGCCGTTTCTGTAATCTTAAGAATCGCGAGTTACCAGCCGTGGGCCGACATCTCTCTTTATAGGATTTAATTCTTATACATTTTAGGGACTACTTTTTAGGAATAAACCATTCTTGCGTTAGTTAATAAAGGTTCATAACCTTCGGAACCCTTCCGCTGAGAACAGAATAGGATAGTAGCCTTTATAACGCACCTTTTCATAACAATATTCTGTGTGGACTCTCATAGGCCATCGAATCTTCTCGTATTCCTGAAACAGAATGGTACGGTCCAGAACCCGCCCCATCTTCTCTGCGATTGGCCGTCCTTCCTCAGTGAGTCGTGTGATTTTTCACCAATGGCCGCTCGCGTTTCTTTAGCGAGGGCTAAGCGATGGAAGGAGGTGGCCAGGGAGACGCCCCCTACGCGTTCTGGGATTGGCTACGTCGCACGGCGCGCGAGGACGGCGGGCCCGAAAGATAAGAACTACGACTCCCGGCTCCCCGCAATGGGAACTCCATTACGCATGCGCATGGGCGGGGCGAACAAGCTTCTATATAAAAGGGGCGCAGAGGGCTGGGAGGCAGCAGTTGGAAGTTGGCAGGTGGAGAGGCAGGTTGGGAGGGAAAGTCGGGGGAGGAGGCGGAAGAGGAGCTGTGGGAAGCGGGAGGAGGGAGGGAGGAAAAGAGGAGGAGGCGGAGGAGAACTGAGCAGAGCAGAGCATCGAGCCAAAGGGGAGATGAGTTTGTCTGTCCTCTGCTGAGGCTCCGGCCGGGCCTAGGGAACTGGGAGCTTAGGTGGAAGCGACACCCGTGGAAGTGGGAGGAGGTGGCTCCGGGACTTTAACCCCTTGTGGGCTCTGCGGCAGGGGATTTAACCCTTTGTGGATCTGGCCCCTCGGAGGCAGCGTCATCGGTAGTTTTAACCCCTTCGGGGCTGGGTTTCACCCACTGGACTTACCCTCATCACCTTGCTTACCAACTCCTTTATTGGGGTGCTCCGCTTGGAGGTTTGAGGCCCACCTCCGCACATTACGTACTGTTCCTGCCGCTGCACCCCCTTGGACCCGCTAGCTGGCCGCACTGTGGACGCTTAACCCTTTACTGACTTGAGCTCCCCAGATTGCAGTTGGAGTTTGCTGATAGAAGGACTAGCTAAAGGCGTCACTGCAGGAATTACAAACTGAAGAGGACTCTGTTGGACTGTTTTTCTTTCTTTTTTTTTTTTTAAGAAAAACTCCATTTTTTTTTTTCTTGAGGACTTAGTAGCCAAAATTTCTCAAACTTCGAGGACTCTACTAGCCATGGCCGAGCCATTCTTGTCAGAATATCAACACCAGCCTCAAACTAGCAACTGTACAGGTGCTGCTGCTGTCCAGGAAGAGCCGAACCCTGAGCGCCCCCCAGGCGCGGAGGAGCGGGTGCCCGAGGAGGACAGTAGGTGGCAATCGAGAGCGTTCCCCCAGTTGGGTGGCCGTCCGGGGCCGGAGGGGGAAGGGAGCCTGGAGTCCCAACCACCTCCCTTGCAGCCCCAGGCCTGTCCAGAATCTAGCTGCCTGATAAAGGGCGAGAAGGGCCAGAATGGGGACGACTTGTCCGCTGGCGGCGACTTCCCGCCGCCGGCAGAAGGGGAACCGAAGCCCGAGGCCGAGCTGCTCGCCCAGCCTTGTCATGACTCCGAGGCCAGTAAGTTGGGGGCTCCTGCCGCAGGGGGCGAAGAGGAGTGGGGACAGCAGCAGAGACAGCTGGGCAAGAAAAAACATAGGAGACGCCCGTCCAAGAAGAAGCGGCATTGGAAACCATACTACAAGCTGACCTGGGAGGAGAAGAAAAAGTTCGACGAGAAACAGAGCCTGCGAGCTTCAAGGATCCGAGCCGAGATGTTCGCCAAGGGCCAGCCGGTCGCGCCCTATAACACCACGCAGTTCCTCATGGATGATCACGACCAGGAGGAGCCGGATCTCAAAACCGGCCTGTACTCCAAGCGGGCCGCCGCCAAATCCGACGACACCAGCGATGACGACTTCATGGAAGAAGGGGGTGAGGAGGATGGGGGCAGCGATGGGATGGGAGGGGACGGCAGCGAGTTTCTGCAGCGGGACTTCTCGGAGACATACGAGCGGTACCACACAGAGAGCCTACAGAACATGAGCAAGCAGGAGCTCATCAAGGAGTACCTGGAGCTGGAGAAGTGCCTCTCGCGCATGGAGGACGAGAACAACCGGCTGCGGCTGGAGAGCAAGCGGCTGGGCGGCGACGACGCGCGTGTGCGGGAGCTGGAGCTGGAGCTGGACCGGCTGCGCGCCGAGAACCTCCAGCTGCTGACCGAGAACGAACTGCACCGGCAGCAGGAACGAGCGCCGCTTTCCAAGTTTGGAGACTAGACTGAAACTTTTTGGGGGAGGGGGCAAAGGGGACTTTTTACAGTGATGGAATGTAACATTATATACATGTGTATATAAGACAGTGGACCTTTTTATGACACATAATCAGAAGAGAAATCCCCCTGGCTTTGGTTGGTTTCGTAAATTTAGCTATATGTAGCTTGCGTGCTTTCTCCTGTTCTTTTAATTATGTGAAACTGAAGAATTGCTTTTCTTGTTTTCCTTTTTAGAAGATTTTTTCCTTAATGTGAAAGTAATTTGACCAAGTTATAATGCATTTTTGTTTTTAACAAATCCCCTCCTTAAACGGAGCTATAAGGTGGCCAAATCTGAGAACAATTAAATTCATTTTAGTTATAATAAATTTAATATTTGTAAATGTAATATAGTTTCAGTGTGATTTCTAGAGCTAATTCAAAATAGTATTATTTTATGTGATTGCATTTTTGGGGAGGGGTACCGAAATCGTTAAATTTGTCAGTTTGCAAAAATATCAGTCTTTAATGGGAGAATTTTCAATTTGCCAATTTTTTCCTTGAATGGGTTTGGGTTTAAGTATGCTACAATACACAGTTCAGGCAAAATATAAAGATTTAATTATCTTCAATACTTAAGTGTGCTTGCTTTCTAGTGCCTTGGTTTTCTTTCTTGATGCTGGAAAAATAAACCGGTGTTGAGTGTTTAGGTGACTGGAAAGTGGCTACAATCCAAAATTTTAAATTTAAGTCTGCCTCCGCCATTCAAAAGTCTAATAACAAAAAATGTAAACCTAATTTGACAGTTTGTTACGTTAGACAACTGTCAGCATTTCATTCCTACAAGTTGGTTTTCAGTGATCTCTTCCATCCCCCCAGTAAGGCTGGAAGAAGTTCCTGGATGCCTGGAAGAGGCTCTTAGCAAACTTCTTAGTGCAAGCAATGGTTAGATTAATTTGTGGGGCAGCTCTTTAAGACATTCAGAGGTGGGAAATACTGGATTTATAAAGGAAATGGCTGTTTGGGGGATTCCAAGGACTTACCCTAATTGTCCAATACTACGTGCTCTGTATACAAAAAAAAAAAAAAGGAATAGGAGCTATCCACCTTTCCATGTGGGTCAAACTAAAATTAGAAATGTCCCCTCACTGCAGATCAAATGTAAAGCTTCCAGTTAAGGAGCTAAATGAGGTCCTCAGCTGAACGAGGAACCCTGTACATTTCCTTGAACAGCCCTATTCTAAATCGCCTAAACTATGCTGATAGCTGTTTAGGTTCTTGAGTAGTTCTGCTCTTAAATGTAGGGAGGCCCTGAGAACTAATTTTTGCCCCAAAATAAAAATAGAAAGAAATTATGAGATTATTCCCTCCTGTCACTTTGGTTAACCCAGTCCTTCACCTGCCCTGTGTCAGTGTTTCCTGAGGGCAACTGCGTTGCTCAAATCACTAACACAGAGGTTCCTTAACTTGGGGCCTTAGAAACCATTGTGGGCCTTGGGGTCCATGAACCCCATGAAATTATTTGTAGACTTGTGTTATATGTACATTTTTCTGGGGAGTTCAAGAGATTCGTAAGATTGTCAAACTCCTTGAAGGTTCAGAACCCCTGCAGGGAAGGGGGAAGAAAACCCTCCCATTAGGAAGCATGCTTTTGCAGTTAAATGGCGGTGATTGAGGTGATAGGGACTTCAAGAGTAAAATGCACCTTGTGATGCATAAGAAGCATACACAAATCAATAAATCAAGGGAGATTACACCAGTAGGACTAAATCAGGGCCTTCAAAGCTGGACTGAGTTGGTCCTGTTCTGGCACATATGGTCCACTGGAGACAATGTATGATTGTGTTTTTCTTTGGCCTAAAAATTATATTAAACATTTATTTTGAAATAGTTTTCTTCGTGTTTTTAATTTTTCTTCTGCTATGACGTCATGCAGCAGCCCCAGAAAAACAGCTGCTTGGAAAGGCAGCAACAGTGCCCTCTGGCTTTACAGTGCAGAGCTGAAGGCTCATTTTGACTTAACTGTAAGATGCAGTAGTGATTATCTCTGATATAAGACCCTCTTTTTTTTTTTTGAGATGGAGTTTCGCTCTTGTTGCCCAGGCTGGAGTGCAATGGCATGATCACCGCAACCTCCGCCTCCCAGGTTCAAGCGATTCTCCTGCCTCAGCCTCCCTAGTAGCTGGGATTACAGGCATGTGCCACCACGCCTGGCTAATTTTGTATTTTTAGTAGAGACGTGGTTTCCCCATGTTGGTCAGGCTGGTCTCGAACCCCGACCTCAAGTGATCTGCCCGCCTCGGCCTCCCAAAATGCTGGGATTACAGGCATGAGCCACTGCGCCTGGCTAAGACCCTCTTCTTAAAGAAGGATTCATCTATGAAAATCTTGTTTCCCCTACTATTAGAAAAATATTTACAAAATGAATCTTGGAAAGACTATAAATGCATTTATCATCAGAAAAAGTATGTTTTAGAAGACAAATTCAGTCCAGTCTTCAAATATACAAATATCTAGGCTGGGCCCAGGGGCTCATGCCTGTAATCCCAGCACTTTGGAAGGCTGAGATGGGCAGATCACCTGAGGTCGGGAGTTAAGAGACCAGCCTGACCAACATACAGAAACCCCATCTCTACTAAAAATACAAAAATTAGCCGGGTGTGGTGGTGCATGCCTGTAATCCCAGCTACTTGGGAGGCTGAGGCAGGAGAATTGTTTGAACCCGGGAGGCGGAGGTTTCAGTGAGAAGAGACTGTGCCACTGCACTCCAGCCTAGGTAAGAGCGAAACTCTGTCTCAAAAAAAAAAAAAAAAAATACATACATACACACACACACACACACACACACACACACACACACAAATATCTAATTATAAGTAACTTTTTTTTTTTTTTTGAGACAGAGTCTCGCTCTGTCACCCAGGCTGGAGTGCAGTGGTGGGATCTCAGCTCACTGCAAGCTCCGCCTCCCGGGTTCACGCCATTCTCCTGCCTCAGCCTCCCGAGTAGCTGGGACTACAGGCGCCCACCACCTTGCCCGGCTAGTTTTTTGTATTTTTCAGTAGAGAAGGGGTTTCACCGTGTTAGCCAGGATGATCTCGATCTCCTGACCTCGTGATCCGCCTGTCTCGGCCTCCCAAAGTGCTGGGATTACAGGCTTGAGCCACCGTGCCTGGCTATAAGTAACTCTTATACATTACATCAGTTTACCTTAAGCTATGCATGTCTGAATTTTGCTTTCAAAGGCACTAGCATTTTACCTTTTTTTATTTTGCATTTATATTCTTACAATGATGAGGTTTATTCAAAATTTCAATTTTGTATTAATACTTTCTACACTTCTTTTTTTGAGATGGAGTCTCATTGTCGCCAGGCTGGAGTGCAGTAGCGTGATCTCGGCTCACTGCAACCTCCACTTCCTGGGTTCAAGCGATTCTCATGCCTCAGCCTCCCGAGTACCTGGGATTACAGGCGCACACCACCGCGCCTGGCTAATTTTTGTATTTTTAGTAGAGACAGGGTCTCGCCATGGTTGCCAGGCTGGTCTCAAACTCCTGACCTCAAGTGATCTGCCTGTGTCAGCCTCCCAAAGTGTTGCGATTACAGGCATAAGCCACTGCACCCGGCCTTTTTTTTTTTTTTTTTTTTGAGATGGGTCTCTCTGTGTCGCCTAGGCTGGAGTGCAGTGTCGTGATCTGGACTTACTGCAACCTCCATTTCCCAGGATAAAGCGATCTTCCCACGTCAGCCTCCCGAGTAGCTGGTACTTGCCACCATGCTTAGCTATTTTTTTTCCTGGTTTTGTTTTTTTTTTTTTTTTGAGAGACAGGGTTTCACCCTGTTGCACTGGCTGGTCTCAAACTCCTGGGCTCAAGCAATCGCCCTCCTCAGCCTCAGCCTCCCAGAATTACAATTGTGAGCCACCAAGCCCAGCCTATTCCTACACTTTTTTTGGGGGGGGATGGGGGGGTGAAGTCTTGCTCTGTCACCCAGGTTGGAGTGCAGTGGCGTGATCTCGGCTCACTGCCAGCTCCGCCTCCCGGGTTCATGCCATTCTCCTGCCTCAGCCTCCCCAGTAGCTGGGACTACAGGCACCCGCCACCATGCCAGGCTAATTTTTTTGTAATTTTAGTAGAGACCAGGTTTCACCGTGTTAGCCAGAATGGTCTCGATCTCCTGACCTCGTGATCCGCCTGCCTCGGGCTCCCAAAGTGCTGGGATTACAGGTGTGAGCCACTGCACCCGGTCTCCTAGTTCTACACTTTCTATTGAAATATTTAACTAGCATACTGCTCTCCTGGCAGAGAGGAGAATTAGTTACCTATATTTTAATTAAAAAAAAAAAAAAGTTAGGCTGGGCATGGTGGTTCATGCCTATAATCTCAGCACTTTGGGAGGCTGAGGGGGGTAGATCACCTGAGGTCGGGAGTTTGAGACCAGCCTGACCAATATGGAGAAACCCCATCTCTACTAAAAATACAAAATACAAAATTAGCCGGGTGTGGTGGTGCATGCCTGTAATCCCAGCTACTTGGGAGGCTGAGGCAGGAGAATCACTGAATCCGGGATGCGGAGTTTGCAGTGAGCCCCAGCCTGGGCAACAAGAGTGAAACTCCGCAAAAAAAAAAAAAAAAAAAAAAGAAGCCGGATGTAGTGGCTCACATCTGTAAACCTAGCACTTTGGGAGGCCCAGGCAGGTGGATCACCTGAGGTCGGCAGTTCCAGACCAGCCTGGCCAACACGGTGAAATCCTGTCTCTACTAAAAATACAAAAATTGGCCGGGGGCGGTGGCTCACACCTGTAATCCCAGCACTTTGGGAGGCCAAGGTGGGCGGATCACGAGGTCAGGAGATCAAGACCATCCTGGCTAACACAGTGAAACCCTGTCTCTACTAAAAATACAAAAAATTAGCTGGGCATGGTGGGTGCCTGTAGTCCCAGCTACTTGGGAGGCTGAGGCAGGAGAATGGCATGAACCCGGAAGGCAGAGCTTGCAGCGAGCTGAGATCGTGCCACTGCACTCCAGCCTGGGCGACAGAGCGAGACTCCGTCTCAAAAAAAAAAAAAAAAAAAAAAGGCCGGGCGTGGTGGCTCAAGCCTGTAATCCCAGCACTTTGGGAGGCCGAGACGGGCGGATCAAGAGGTCAGGAGATCGAGACCATCCTGGCTAACGCGGTGAAACCCAGTCTCTACTAAAGAAATACAAAAAAACTAGCCGGGCGAGGTGGCGGGCGCCTATAGTCCCAGCTACTCGGGAGGCTGAGGCAGGAGAATGGCGTGAACCCGGGAGGCGGAGCTTGCAGTGAGCTGAGATTCTGCCACTGCACTCCAGCCTGGGTGATACAGCGAGACTCTGTCTCAAAAAAAAAAAAAAAAAAAAAAATAGCTGGGCATGGTGGTGGGTGCCTGTAATCCCAGCTACTCGGGAGTCTGAGGCAGGAGAATCACTTGAATTTGGGAGGCAAAGGTTGCTATGAGCTGACATCATGCCACATTGCACTCCAGTCTAGGCAGCAGAGTAAGATTCTGTCTCAAAAAAAAAAAAAAGCTTTTTTTTTTTTTTTTTTTGAGAATTGGGGTTTCACCTGGGCCCGGTGACTTACACCTGTAACCCTAGCATTTTGGAAGGCCAAGGTGGGGAGAATGCTTGAGCTCAGTAGTTTGAGGCCTGCCTGGGTAACATGGTGAAACCCCGTCTCAAAAAAAAAAATTGGAAAAAAAACCAAAGCTGTGGTCTCCCTTAGTTGCCCAAGTTGCCCAAGCTAGAGTGCAGTGGCACTATCATATCTCACTGCAGCCTCAAATTCCTGGGCTTGAGTGATTCTCCCACCTCAGGTTCCTGAGTAGCTGGGACTAAAGGCGGGTACGAACACACCCAGCTGATTTACCTATATTAAACAGGGGGCTTTGATGACAAATGATCCCCAAGCCCACGCTAGCCTTTCACTTAAGTCCTCTGTCAAGCATTTTAACTGAGCTGCTCAAAAGACCAGGCTTACAAATTAGCAATTTCAGTTTGTTCCCTTTTTCCTCCTGGGGCCTAGGTATTCAATCAGGAAAAACTGCTTCCCAAACTGACACAGCTAGCTGGACAGCTTTTCTTAGAGCCCTTAGGAGACAGGGTCCTTTAGACTTCAGAGTTTTAGGAGAGAGAGCCAGGGAGTTCCAGATTGGTTTAGTTCTGAAAAATATACTAGGTATCTCTAAAGAGGGGAGGCATAATAAAGATTAGACAGGCCAGGCACAGTGGCTTCATGCCTGTAATCCTAACACCTTGGGAAGCCGAGGCAGGAGGGTCACTTGAGCTCAGGCACTCGAGACCAGCCTAGGCAACATAGTTACCAACACAGGCAACAAACACCAGCCTCCTCTCTATTAAAAAGTAAATTTAGGCCAGGCATGGTGGCTCACACCTGTAACCCCAGCACTTTGGGAGGCTCACTTGGGATGGATCACTTGAGGTCAAAAGTTCAAAACCAGCCTGGCCAACATGGCAAAATCCTGTCTCTACTAAAAATACAAAAATTAGCCAGGCAGGCATGGTGGTGGGCACCTCTAATCCCAGCTACTCAGGAGGCTGAGACAGGACAATTGCTTGAACCTGGGAGGTGGAGGTTGCAGTGAGCCGAGATTGCACCACCGTATTCCAGCCTAGGCAAAAGAGCACGACTTTGCTCGGAGAAATGTAAATAAATATACTCTGCCCTAATGACTGCAAAAGTTAGAGAAACCAAAGAGGGACTCCACAGACTTAAACAACGAAAGCCACAACCAAATAGTCTACCTACTCAAGGGCTGGCTATATTTAGTCAAGCATTAGGTAATGCATCAGTTGTTCCCTTGATCACTTATACCCGTAACAGCTAGCAACAAATATTCACAACAGTGTGGTGGAAAAGTTGGTTATAGTTAACTAGTATTTGAAAATTAAGTACTCAAGTACACTTGAGTTTGTGGGGTTTCAAGGTTTGTTTTTTGGGGGAAAGTACTATTTTTCACATTTGCACAACATCACTGCAATAACAATTCCACTTTATTCTTTCTCACACAAAGTGTAAATGATTGGGGCTAGAAATAAAAGTTGTTTTTTTAAAAAAAGAGAATGTTGGCCAGGCGCGGTGGCTCAAGCCTGTAATCCCAGCACTTTGGGAGGCCGAGACGGGTGGATCACGAGGTCAGGAGATCGAGACCATCCTGGCTAACACGGTGAAACCCCGTCTCTACTAAGAAATACAAAAAACTAGCCGGGCGAGGTGGCGGGCGCCTGTAGTCCCAGCTACTCGGGAGGCTGAGGCCGGAGAATGGTGTGAACCCGGGAGGCGGAGCTTGCAGTGAGCTGAGATCCGGCCACCGCACTCCAGCCTGGGCTACAGAGCGAGACTCTGTCTCAAAAAAAAAAAAGAGAATGTTGTCAGGCACAGTGGTTCATGGCTCTATAATCCTCGCACTTTGGGAGGCCAAGATGGGCAGATCACCTGAGGTCAGGAGTTGGAGACCAGCCTGGCCAACATGGTGAAACCCCGTCTCTACTAAAATTGCAAAAATTGGCCAGGCACAGTGGCTCACGCCTGTAATCCCAGCACTTTGGGAGGCCAAGGTGGGCCGATCACAAGGTCAGGATATCGAGACCATCCTGGCCAATACGGTAAAACTCCGTCTCTACTACAAATACATAAAAAATTAGCTAGGCATGGTGGCGCCCGCCTATAATCCTAGCTACTTGGGAGGCTGAGCCAGGAGAATCGCTTGAACCCAGGAGGTGGAGGTTGCATTGAGCCGAGACTGCGCCACTGCACTCCAGCCTGGTGACAGAGTGAGACTTTGTCTCAAAAAAAAAAAAAAAAAACCTCCAAAAATTAGCCGGGTGTGGTGGTGAGCTGCTGTAATCCCAGCTACTTGGGAGGCTGAGGCAGGGAGAATTGCTTGAACCTGGGAGGCAGAGGTTGCGGCGAGCCAGGATCGTGCCAAAAAGAAGAAAAAAAAAAAGAATGTCAAATTTAGCCCTAAACTGCTGACCAAAGGATAGTAATCATACTTTGCAACTGGAGCAAAATATATGCTCCAGGAGGCAAAGTTTCAATCTTTGGCCAAATTTTTGCCAAAAAAAATCAAGAACAGGATGTTGGGGCCTAAACAAAGGAGCATAAAAAATTAACTGGCCAGGCACTGTAGCTCACACCTGCAATCCCAGCACACTGGGAGGCCGAGGTGGGCAGATCACCTGAGGTCAGGAGTTCGAGAACAGCCTGGCCAACACGGTAAAACCCCATCTCTACTAAAAATACAAATACAGTCCGGGCACGGTAGCTCACTGACTGCAATCCCAGCACTTTGGGAGGCCGAGGCAGGAGGATCATCTGAGGTCGGGAGTTCAAGACCAGCCTGACCAACATGGAGAAACCCCATCTCTGCTAAAAATACAAAACTAGTTGGGCATGGTGGCGCATGCCTATAATCCCAGCTCCTCAGGAGGCTAAGGCAGGAGAATCGCTCAAACTTGGGAGGCGGAGGTTGTGGTGAGCTGAGATCATGCCATTGCGCTCCAGCCTTGGCAACCAGGCGAAACTCCATCTCAAAAAAAATAAAATAGGCTGGGCGCGGTGGCTGACGCCTGTAATCCCAGCACTTTGGGAGGCCGAGGCGGGCAGATCACGAGGTCAGGAGATCGAGACCATCCTGGCTAACATGGTGAAACCCTGTCTCTACTAAAAATACAAAAAATTAGCCGGGTATGGTGGCAGGTGCCTGTAGTTCCAGCTACTCGGGAGGCAGGAGAATGGCGTGAACCCGTGAGGCGGAGGTTGCAGTGAGCTGAGATTATGCCACTGCACTCCAGCCTGGGCAACAGAGTGAGACTCTGTCTCAAAAAAATAATAAAAAATAATAAAATAAAATACAAATACAAAAATTAGCCAGGCATGGTGGCAAGTGCCTGTAATCCCAGCTACGCAAGAGGCTGAGGCAGGAGAATCGCTTGAACTCAGGAGGCGGAGGTTGCAGTGGGCCAAGATCGTGCCACTGCACTCCAGCCTGGGTGACAGAGCAAGATTCCATCTCAAAAAAAAAGAAAAAAGAAAAAAAATTGATTAACTGTGGAAACCAAAGAGAAGCAAGCATCTTCATCCCAAAGAGGGGGAATCACTGTAAAGAATCAGTCCTTTTCTGCAATTATACAGGCAGTAGGAAAAACAAGTAACTCCTACCTCTGTCAATAAATCCTACTCACACATAGTCTCTGGTCCCTAGGATTTGGCCATCAGGCAAAATGAGCATCCATGACTTCATGGAAACAACCACTGGGCACCCTGAGAGACTGATCCTCATTCAGCCTACTTGGATGGCTCTTTTGTGGTGCTATGGACAACTAAGGCCACACTTTGGTAAGGCAGGCTTTCCAACTGCCCCAATGATCTTTGAAGCATTGGTTGTGCAGTTCTCATATAACAAAGTTACAGGGAGTAGGTGTTTACATAGCGACTAAGACTAGTTACTCCTCTAGGTATTTATGAGGGAGACAGTACTGATACCATTTTCAAATGAGGAAACTTATGAATATAGAGTTTGTAGAATTTGTCATAAAGAACATGAGTTTGTAGAATTTGTCATAAAAGCATAACACAACTCATCTCAGAGGGGACAGCTGAGGAGGAAGTTGAAAGTCTGGTTGAACAGCAGATGAACAACAGACTAAGCAACAAAATGACCAGCTTGGCCTCATCATCAGTATTTGGCCTCTGGCCAAGCCAACCAAGTCAATGGCAGCACACACAGAAATGGAGCTTGGAGTTCCTAATTTTCAGTCCTTCAGTCCTGTGTTTTCTTTAGATAACCAGGAGGCCATTAATATGCTGGTTTTATTCCCAATTTTTTTTTTTTTTTTTTGAGACAGAGTCTCGCTCTGTGGCCCAGGCTGGAGTGCAGTGGCGCGATCTCAGCTTACTGGACCCTCCGCCTCCCGGGTTCATAGCTGGGAGTACAGGCGCCCACCACTGCGCCTGGCTAATTTTTTTTTTTTTATTTTCTTGAGATGGAATCACACTCTGTCGCCCAGGCTGGAGTGCAGTGATGTGATCTCAGCTCACTGCAACTCCCGCTCCACGCGCCCCCTCCCCCGTTTCAAGGGATTCTCCTGCCTCAGCCTCCCAAGCAGTTGGGACTACAGGCGCACACCACCACACCCAGCTAATTTTTGTATTTTTAGTAGGGACCGGGTTTCACCATGTCTGCCAGGACGGTCTCAATTTCTTGACCTCCTGATCTGCCCGCCTTGGCCTCCCAAAGTGCTGGGATTACAAGCCTGAGCCAGCACGCCCGGCCTATTTTTTTTTTTTTTGAGACAGGGTTTCAACATATTGGCAAGGCTGGTCTCAAATCCTGACTTTGTGATCCTCCTGCCTTGGCCTCCCAAAGTGCTGGAATTACAGGCATGAGTCACTGTACCTGGCCTATGCCCAATTTTTCTTAGCAAAGAATGGAAAAGCTTGTGGGTCAACCTTAAGGATAGTAACTTTCATTTACAAATGAGTTAACAAATTTCTGCTGCTGGTACCGTATTTGCCACTCAGTAGCATTCAAAAGTTTCACTAGATTACTTTATAATGGAGGATGAATCACAAATATCTAGGATCCTCCCCCATTAAATTCTTGACAGAAGACCCACAAAGATCATCTTTAAACCCCTTTTCTGCTCCTATGACTATTTAAGTCCCACCAAGTTAGTTAGCTTTTTAAAGCTCACATCTCTTGATCAGTGTAGAGGCAACATGCCATATGTAGGTAAAAAATCAACCCACGGTAGGGATCAAGTGTACTGAAGCTTCAGTTAGGAGTAAGTGGTTCCAGTTTTGGATTGAGGACCCTAGTCAATGATGATCCTATTTTGTAATCCAGTTGTAAGATATCTGGGGAGCAGAGGGAAAAAAGTTAACGCTATGGAGTTGTCACTCCAACTGAAGAAAAATTATTAATAGAAGGAGCAGAACTTCAGTTCTGGAAAACTTTTTTTTTCTTTTGAGACAGAGTCTTGCTCTGTCGCCCAGGCTAGAGTGCAATGGTGAGAGGCTCATGGCAAACAGTGCCTTCTGGGTTCAAGCGATTCTCCTGCCTCAGCCTCCCGAGTAGCTGGGATTACAGGCACGCACCACCACACCTGGCTACTTTTGTATTTTTAGTAGAGAAGGGGCTTCACCATGTTGGCCAGGTTGGTCTCAAACTCCTGACCTCAGGTGATCCACCCACCTCCGCCTCCCAAAGGGCTGGGATTACAGGTGTGAGCCAGCACGCCGGGCCAAGTTTTGGAAAACTTTTAGTAAGGCTGAAGGCTTAGGCATGTTTTGACCATTTGTAACTAGTAATGACACTCATCACAAGGTACCCACAAAATTCACTGCCAGTCACCCTGCTACGTCAAAGCCTCTCCTACTTCAGAACCTACCTAGCCATAATTTTAACTGACATTTTAGCAACAAAACTTTTATTTGAAGATATCCTTGAGCCACAAATCTCTCTGGATTTAGATTTCAAGCAGTAGAAAATAAGATGGTTTAACCTGCAATTCAGTAAAAGAACTTCACATCAAACTTCAATCTTTAAGAAGCTGCTACAGCTATACTGTAAGGTTAAGAGTTTATTCTTTCAAAGCAGGTCTCCTCATCTCTTAAACCCTATATATATTAAGTAGATAAAAACTGCAATTTCTATTTTGGTAGCATTTAGGATCTACAAAAGTGATCTTTCAATTACTTGGAATTTCAAAATAGAGGTTACCTAGTAACAATGCATCAGTAGAACACAAAATACTCTGATTTTGTTTAGTCTGTAGGGGGAAAAACATCTTTAAACTGGAAAGATTCTGTAGCCTTATGAAGATTATTACATTGGAATTGGAATTACTGTAGTTCGTTTTTCCCTCTAGGAGGGCAGCCATTTCTCTACAAGTTTTGTAAAAGTTAAGACTCGGATTTCAAAATGCAAGCAGATGTTGATGAAGCATACGAAATGGGCAACTCCATTTCTATTTCGGAGCCGCAGTGACTCCGACTTTGTGCCCCAAGCCTGTAAAGCACAAAACCTCATCCCTTTGGTGTAAACCTTCAAGAGAAGTGGGGCAGCACACTTCAGGCTTTTCACCAACAGGCTGGCGACATGCTAGGTCAGGGTGTCCGGAGAATCGGGGCTGAATGGGAGAGATCTTGAGGGCAAGAGCCTCAGAGACCTTCAGGCACCGGGCTCGTGAAGGTTTCCACGTGCCCCTATCTAGCTGGTCCCAGGGGGAATTAGTGGTTGCTACAGTAGTTTAAGACGGCCGTGGTTTTTCGCAACCCGGGCGGCGAGATGGCGCTTTGGTGTAAGCGAGGTAAGGTGGGTGCACTGGGATCTCCGCTCTCGGAGCCTCCAGTTGACTGCCACGCCGACTTGCGGCCAGACCTGCGACCTCCGCCCTCCCCCGCGGCGCCAGCCTCTGGAATCTGGCGTCGCCCCCACTTCTCCAGTCGAAGTGGGAGTCCCTCTGTGCGGGACCTCGCCGCCATACCCAGGCCGAATGGGGGTGGGGAAGGAAGTTGGCAGAGCTCGGCCTCAGGATCTGCGCCCCTGTGGAAGGACGGCAGAGGAGAGCCGTTTCACCAGCCTCTCCCGTGCTAGGGTCTCGGGAAACACGCGGTAATTACCGAAGAACCCCGCACTCTGTGAGATGCGAGGCTGCGGGGTTGCCGGGACATTTTGAGGACCGGGCTCGGCCGGGGAGACTCCAACCTTCACCCTCCCTGGCCCCCGGTCCCACTTCCCGCCTTCTCCCGGCGCCGCCACTTCAGGCAGCCCACTCGGCCCGGCCTCTCCCCGCGCCCGGACCACCCCCCACGGGGTGCTCTCACTGCGCAGCGAGTCCCTCCGCTGCCTCCTCCCAGCCCAAAATGGCGGCGATGGCCGCCGATCTTCTCGTCGCCTTCCTCAAAGGCCAAGGATCCCTCCGCGCGTACTGCCCCGCCCATCTTAGCCGGATCTCTTTTCTGCCCCGTAAAGATTAACGCCATCAATGAACTCTTTAATTGAGTTCGGAGAAGGCGGGTCCAGTTATGCCTCCTCACAGCTAATCGTTGCCAAAAGTGAGAATATTGGCAGAAGGCTTGACCAATCAAAGAAGGCAGCGATGCACGCGCAGTCTGTCCCCGCTCAAGGGTAGATGGGTTTCGGAGTCTCGGGTGTGGCTGTTGACGTGACAGGCGCTCGGATCGCTTTTCAGGCTAGAAGAACTACAATCCCCAGCAGGCACCGCGCGTCCAGGCTATCTCCTCCCCCCATCTTAGTGGCCTGAGCGGCTTGACCACAGCTGCTGCAACTGCAGCAAGAGGTAGGGCTGAGGCGTTGGGAATTGCACCGACAGGCAGTCGCACAGAAAGACACACAGATGTAGTGGTGTGCATAGCCCTTGACAGCGAATAGGTCAGTTCCACTTTTGCAAAACCTCTTTCCATGACTATCTCCCCTCTTCCAAGAAATCCATCCTTGTCCCAGTTGGGTTTCCCGCTCAGCTGCATGTAGCGCAAAGACCTCTTTCCCCTTTCCCCTGTTTCCCTTTCTGAGAGGAAGGAGGGAGGCAGGCCATGACCTTAGAGGAAAAGGCCTCAGCACTAGGCTTGGCCCAGGTCCCAGCTGTGCTTCTGGCCTTTGGAGCCCAGCTTGGGGAGAAGGTTGGGGGTGCAGGGCTGCATGAAGATTGAGGCCCCTGGAGACAGTGGGAAAGGACTCCTGAGCTTGCTCCATGTTCTCCCGTGGCAGCAGCAGCCCCGCTGCACTCCCAGCCTCCCCAGGCAGTCCTCCTTTTCCCCTTTGGTGGTTGGGGAAACAAAGCTTACACCTGGCTTCCTGGCTGCCAGCCTGGGCCTCGATGACTTCCAGGAGGACAGTACAGGACATGAGACCTGGTGAGAGACCCAAGGAGCAGGACAGAGAAAACGGCCCCTGAATCCCATTTGGCCCCTTGCTGGCTGGAGGTGTGAAAACCAGTGGTGGAGGCAGCCTTCGGGGCCTGCATTTGAGAATAAGGGTATGAAGAGCTGGGGTACAAAATGGCTGCCGCTGCCTGGGCAAACAATTCTGGGCAGCCAGAGTCTTCCTGAGAACGTTCCTTCAGAACTTGGATTTCTGATGTTGTTCAAAGCAGGTGTCACTAGTTCCAGGTGTCTGCTGAAAGATTTGGAACGGAAGATGATGGCCACTCCGAACCAGACCGCCTGTAATGCAGAGTCACCAATAGCCCTGGAGGAGGCCAAGGTAAGCCCCTGCCCTCCTGCCCACCCGAGTACCCCGAGCATGGGTCCCACAGCTGAGATCCAAACTTCTTGTCTCAGATATGTTGGTAGATTTGGAAAACCAATATTTTGATGAATCCCTACTATGCACTAGGCAATAGGCCGGAATCCCAGTCTATGCTAGCTTATGAAATCTTAGTAACTGGCCGGGTGTGGTGGCTCACACCTGTAATCCCAGCACTTTGGGAGGCCTAGGTGGGTGGATCACCTGAGGTCAGGAGTTTGAGACCAGCCTAACCAACATGGCGAAACCCTGTCTCTACTAAAAATGCAAAATTAGCCTGGCGTGGTGGTGGTGCATGCCTGTAATCACAGCTACTTGGGAAGTTGAGGCAGGAGAATCACTTGAACCCAGGGGGCAGAGGTTGCAGTGAGCCAAGATCTCGCAATTGCACTCCAGCCTGGGCGTCAGAGCGAGACTGTCTCAAAAAAAAAAAAAAGGAATCCTAGTAACCCTTTCAGGCAGGAATTATTTCCAATTCCCAGAAGCCAAGGTTCTGAGACCTGAAATACCTGTTCCAGAATCATGCTGTCTACAAGCAACAGACCCAGGGTTTAAACTTAGGGCCTTCTGACAACTGAACATTGCCTTGACCTCAAGTTCAAAGAGGGCATGGAGGGACTGGGTTGAATGTGTTTTGTCCAGGCCATGAACCAAGTCGGAAGCAGGAAGAAGAGTTTTTGGTTCATAATTTGAATGGACCCAGGCAGGCAATTCACTTGAGACCAGGATTTCAAGACCAGCCTGGCCAACATGGTGAAACCTCATCTCTAGTAAAAATACAAAAATTAACTGGGCATGGTGGCACATGCCTGTAATACCAGCTACTCAGGAGGCTGAGGCATGAGAATCACTTGAACCCGGGATGCAGAGGTTGCAGTGAGCTGAGATCACACACTGCACTTTAGCCTGGGCGACAGAGTGACACTCCATCTCAAAAAAGAAAAAAACAAACAAACAAACAAAAAAACAGGCCAGGCAGTGGCTCACGCCTGTAATCCTAGCACTTTTGGAGGCTGAGGCAGGTGGATCATCTGAGGTCGAGAGTTCAAGACCAGCCTGGCCAACATGGTGAAACCCTGTCTCTACTAAAAATACAAAAATTAGATGGGTGTAGTGATGGGCGGCTGTAATCCCAGCTACTCAGGAGGCTGAAGCAGAAGAATCACTTGAACCCGTGAAGTAGAGGTTGCAATGAGCTGAGATCGTGCCATTGCACTCCAGCCTGGGCAACAAGAGCAAAACTCTTTCAAAAAAAAAAAAGAAAAGAGCTCGAAGCTGGGTGCAGTGGCTCACGCCTGTAATCCCAGCACTTTGGGAGGCCGAGGTGGGTGGATCACTTGAGGTCAGGAGTTGGAGACCAGCCTGACCAACATGGAGAAACCCCATCTCTACTAAAAATACAAAATTAGCCGGGTGTGGTGGCGCATGCCTTTAATCCCAGCTACTTGGGAGACTGAGGCAGGAGAATCGCTTGAACCTGGGAGGCGGAGGTTGCTGTGAGCAGAATTTGCACCACTGCAGTCCAGCCTGGGCAACAAGAGGGAAACTCCGTCTTCAAAAAAAAAAAAAAAGAGTTCAAGACAAGCCTGGCTAACATGAGGAAACCCCGTCTCTACTAAAAATACAAAAAAATTAGCTGGGCATGGTGGTAGGTGCCTGTAATCCCAGCTACTCAGGAGGCTGAGGCAGGAGAATTGCTTGAAACTGGGAGGCAGAGGTTGCAGTGAGCCGAGATCACGCCCCTGCATTCCAGCCTGGGCAACACAGTGAAACTCCATCTCAAAAAAAAAAAAAAAAAAAAAAAAAACCCTGAAATTAGCCCAGTGTGGTGGGGCATGCCTGTAATCCCAGCTGCTTGGGAGGCTGAGGCATGAGAATCACTTGACCCCAGGAGACAGAGGTTGCAGTGAGCTGAGATCACGCCACTGCACTCCAGCCTGGGTGATGAAGTCACACTGTCTCAATAAAATAATTTGGAATGGAGGTAGGGGGTTAGGATATAACCCGCAAAAGAGGAGAGAGAAAGATCGTATCAGACCCTCAGAGGATGCCACTTTCCAACTTGGCAACAGGAACCCATGCTTGTTCAGCCCGTGTTCTCTCACTACCTGCCCTTACCCATTCTTCCTTAGTCCATGCCTCCCTATAGATGAGCAGGGAGCTTAGGAGAGGGGTCAGAGAGCTTCTGACCCACGCTGCCTAGCCTATTCCGTGTTTTCTGGATTGACTGAATTTGGAATTCATGACGTGTCAGGGCTATAGTGTTCAGCCAGGTCACACAGCTTATCTACGGTAGTGGTCATGGTGGTAGAGGGCCAAGTCTTCAGGAGGGAGGCAGCAGGTAGGGCTAGGGGGCTGGGTTTGCTTGGGTGAGGGTGGAGGATCAACAGGGCACTTTTACTGAGGGCTGGGAACATGTGACTGTGCACACCAACAAGCCACCCTGCCTTGGCATCCCAGTGGCCTTGCCTGTCCCAGGTGGGGCGACAGCTCTATCTCATTTGGCCCAAGCCACTGGTGGAGACAAGGGCTATTGCTTATATTTAGTGATCTCCCTGCAGGTGAAGTAACACAACAAACTCCACATACATACATACCCCATACACATACACAGCCTGACATACCTCCTTTTCCCTGAAATTCTCTTCAGGGTCTGCAAAACACACATGACATATGCCTGGCTCTTAAGGGCTGCGCATACACCACATTTCTCAGTACACACCCTGTGTGCATGGACCCATGCTCACATGTCTATGAACTACATTGCATATTACTCAACAACATACCAGTGGTAGTGGTTATTATTAGAAATTGTCCAAACCACAGACTTAGAGCAATTCATTTCCCATCTCCCACACCCAGTACTCCCACCCTTCCCACAACAGAGATAAACAGATGCCCTGAGCCTATACTGTCTTGACAGAATCTTTCTACCTCTTAGATAAGTTCTGGAACTCTCTCACTGCAGACTGGAGGCCGACCCTCCCTCTCCTTGGAGAGGACCTCTTTCCTGCCATTCATATTGGAGAGTGATGCCAACTACCAACTTCTGCCTGGAATAAATATGTTCCATCATTTTATTTTATTTTTTAATTTAATTTAATTTTTACATTTAATTTTATTTTTTGAGACAGAGTCTTACTCTGTTGCCCAGGCTGGAGTGCAGTGGCACGATCTCGCCTCACTGCATCCTCCACCTCCCAGGTTCAAGCGATTCTCCTGCCTCAGCATCCCGAGTAGCTGTGATTACAGGTGCCCACCACCATGCCCGGCCAATTTTTTTGTATTTTTAGTAGAGATGGGGTTTCACCATGTTGGCCAGGCTGGTCTCAAACTCCTGACCTCAGGTGATCTACCAGCCTCGGCCTCCCAAAGTGCTGAGATTACAGGCATGAGCCACCATGACCAACCTGCTACATCTTCTTTATGCCAGAAGGATAGAGAGGGGAGTCTTATTTGTCTGTTTTTTAAAATTATTATTTTTATTTTATTTATTTATTTGTTTATTTTTTGAGACTCCAATTCTGTCAGTCAGGCTGGAGTGCAGTGGCGTGATCACAGCTCACTGCAGCCTCAACCTCCCACTTCAGCCTCCCAAGTAGCTGGGATTACAGGTGCTCACCACCATGCCTGGCTAATTTTTTGTAATTTTTGGTAGAGATGGGGTTTTGCCATGTTGCCCAGGCTGGTCTTGAACTCCTGGGCTTCAGCAATCCACCTGCCTCGGCCTCCCAAAGTGCTAGGATTACCAGCATGAGCCACCATGCTCGTCCATAAGTCTTATTTCCCAATATCTTTTGGATCTCCCTATCTTATAGGTTTTAGGCCACTTAACAGATATTTACTGAGCACTGCCCTTGTGCTGTGCATAGGAATATAGTGGTGACTTGGACAGACAGACAAGATGTGTTCTTACATGAGGAAGACAGATGTTAAATGGCCATATGCTAAATGCTGTGTGCTAATTGCGTGACATGATAGAATCACTAGGGAGGGTAGATGGGGAGTCTACTTTAGGTAGGGTGGTCAAGGAGGGGCTCCCTGAGGAAGTGACATTGGAACTAAGCTCTAAAAGGTTAAAAAAAGGTGGCTGGGGGCAGTGGCTCATGCCTGTAATCCTGGTACTTTGGGAGGCTGAGGCAGGTGGATCACTTGACATCAGGAGTTTGAGACCAGCCTGGCCAACATGGTGAAACACTGTCTCTACTAAAAATACAAAAAGTTAACTGGGCATGGTGGTGGGTGCCTGTAATCCCAGCTACTCCAGAGGCTGAGGCAGGAGAATCGCTTGAACCTGGAAGGTGGAGGTTGCAGTGAGCTGAGATCGGGCCACTGCACTCTAGCCTGGGCAACAGAGGGAGACTCTTGTCTCAAAAAAAAAAAAAAAAAAAAGCCCAGGTGTGGTGGCTCACGCCTGTAATCCCAGCACTTTGGGAGGCCGAGGTGGGCAGGTTACTTGAGGTCAGGAGTTCCAGACCAGCCTGGCCAACATGGTGAAACCCCATCTGTACTAAAAATACAAAAATTAGCCTGGCATGGTGGTGCACACCTGTAGTCCCAGCTACTCAGGAGGCTGAGGCAGGAGAATCGCTTGAACCCGGGAGGCGGAGGTTGCAGTGAGCCGAGATGGTACCACTGCACTCCAGCCTGGGCAACAGAGTGAGACTGTCCCACACACACACAAAAAAAAAAAGATGAAGAAAAAGTCAGCCATGCAAGTAGCTGGAAGCAAGATCAGCTACATAATTTGTGGGGCCTAGTGCAAAAGGGCACCTTATTCAAAAATTATTAAAAAGTTAAAGATAGTGGCCGGGTGTGGTGGTGCATGCCTGTAGATCCAGTTACTTGGGAGGCTAAGGCAGGAGGATTGCTTGAGCCCAGGAGTTTGAGGATGCAGGGAGTTGTTATTGCACCACAGCATTCCTGCCTAGGCAATAGAGTAAGACCCTGTCTCTAAAAATAAAAGGTCTTTTTTGTTTTTTTGTTTTTGAGATGGAGTGTTGCTCTCGCTCAGGCTGGAGTGCAGTGGCTCAATCTCAGCTCATTGCAAGCTCCGCCTCCTGGGTCCACACCATTCTCCTGCTTCAGCCTCCTGAGTAGCTGGGATTACAGGCGCCCGCCACCACGCCTGGCTAATTTTTTTGTATTTTTAGTAGAGACAGGGTTTCACCTTGTTAACCAGGATAGTCTCGATCTCCTGACCTCGTGATCTGCCTGTCTCAGCCTCCCAAAGTGCTGGGATTACAGGCATAAGCCACCTCACCTGGCCTGTTTGTTTTTGAGATGGAGTCTCGCTCTGTCACTCAGGCTGGAGTGCAGTGGTACAATCTTGGCTCACTGCAACTTCTGCCTCCCATATTCTCCAGCCTCAGCCTCCTGCGTAGTGGGGATTACAGGCATGCACCACCACACCTGGCTTATTTTTGTATTTTTAGTAGACATAGGGTTTCACCATGTTGGTCAGGCTGGAGTCAAACTCCTGACCTCAGGTGATCTGCCCACCTCGGCCTCCCAAAGTGCTGGGGATTACAGGCCTGAGCCACCACGCTGAGCCTAAAAAAAACTTATTTCGGCCGGGCGCGGTGGCTCAAGCCTGTGATCCCAGCACTTTGGGAGGCCGAGACGGGCGGATCACGAGGTCAGGAGATCGAGACCATCCTGGCTAACACAGTGAAACCCCGTCCCTACTAAAAAATACAAAAAAAAAACTAGCCGGGCGAGGTGGCGGGTGCCTGTAGTCCCAGCTACTCAGGAGGCTGAGGCAGGAGAATGGCGTAAACCCGGGAGGCAGAGCTTGCAGTGAGCTGAGATCTGGCCCCTGCACTCCAGCCTGGGCGACAGAGCGAGAGACTCCATCTCAAAAAAAAAAAAAAAAAAAACTTATTTTAGGCCGTGCGCAGTGGCTCACTCCTGTGCTTTGGGAGCACTTTGGGAGGCCAAGGCGGGTGGATCACCTGAGGTCAGGAGTTCGAGACTAGGCTGGCCAACATGGTGAAACCCTGTCTCTACTAAAAATACAAAAAATTAGCCGGGCGTGGTAGCACATGCCTGTGATCCCAGCTACATGGGAGGCTGAGGCTGGAGAATTCCGGAGGAAGAGGTTGCAGTGAGCTGAAATTGCGCCACTGCACTCCAGCCTGGGTGACAGGGAGACTCCATCTCAAAAAATGAAATAAAATAAGGGTTTTTAAAAATAATATGTTTAAGACAAGGACAGCATGAAGCCAGGTGTGAGGCCTCTGTGGAACTTAACAGGTCACCTGCCCATGAAGCCAGCTGTGTTTGAAAGTCAGGCTTTCTGGGAAGAGGGAAGAGCCAGTGGCATTTGGGCTTCTGATCAAGCAAATGGATCAAGATCTGTCTTCTATCCCAGTTTTCTTCTTCTCCTACTTTACTCATTTGGACAGTATTTATGGAACTCCTACTCAGTGCCAGGTATTATTCTAGGCATTGAAATTACAGAGTGAAACACACAGGCAAAATTCCTGCTGTCACCATGAGTTTACTTGGGGAAGGCTGGGGGACAGACAGTAGACAGGTCACTTTGTAAACAAATGGTTGCAAAAGGGTGAGGGGCTAAGAGTGACCAAGTTAGCTGAGTGTGGGAAGGTTGGCTTCAAACTGGGTAGAGAGGGAAGGGTTCCACCTCCAAGGACAGGCTGTCTGATCCATCCTTCTTCCTCCTCCCCCTCTTTAGACCTCTGGTGCCCCGGGGAGCCCCCAAACACCCCCTGGGCCTCATGACTCTGGTGGTTCCCTGCCCCTGACACCCCGGATGGAGAGCCACTCAGAGGATGAAGATCTTGCTGGGGCTGTCGGTGGCCTGGGCTGGTACAGTAGGAGTCCCCGGACCCAGAACCCAGGGGGCTGCTCAGCGGAGGCTGTTCTGGCCCGGAAGAAACACCGTCGGCGGCCGTCCAAGCGCAAACGGCACTGGCGACCCTACCTGGAGCTGAGCTGGGCTGAGAAACAACAGCGGGATGAGAGGCAGAGCCAGAGGGCCTCCCGGGTCCGCGAGGAGATGTTCGCCAAAGGCCAGCCCGTGGCCCCCTACAACACCACCCAGTTCCTGATGAATGACCGAGACCCGGAGGAGCCCAACTTGGATGTGCCCCATGGGATCTCCCACCCAGGTTCCAGTGGGGAGAGTGAGGCTGGGGACAGTGATGGGCGGGGCCGAGCGCACGGTGAGTTCCAGCGGAAGGACTTCTCTGAGACTTACGAGCGCTTCCACACTGAGAGCCTGCAGGGCCGCAGCAAGCAGGAGCTGGTGCGAGACTACCTGGAGCTGGAGAAGCGGCTGTCGCAGGCAGAGGAGGAGACTAGGAGGCTGCAGCAGCTGCAGGCGTGTACTGGCCAGCAGTCCTGCCGCCAGGTGGAGGAGCTGGCTGCCGAGGTCGAGAGGCTCCGGACTGAGAACCAGCGGCTTCGGCAGGAGAACCAGATGTGGAACCGAGAGGGCTGCTGCTGTGATGAGGAGCCGGGTACCTAGGGGTGCCTCCCAGCCTGGTGGACCCAAGGAGAAGGTCCCATTTTGTGCACACTCAGGCCAGCTGGGTCTCAAGGAGGCAGGTGGCAGATGAAAACCACCGTCAACACCCTTTGCCCCCTGAGAACGGCTAAATTGGTTCAGACTCCCACCTCACCGTTTCCACAGTTGGCTCTTTCGTGTCATCTTACTCTTTACAGATAAATTAAATGGTCTTAGTGGGACCAAATGGGAGTGTCTAGGATTGATTTCACTAGGGCTGTTGTGAGAACCAAAACATTTGCCCCAGAGAAGTCTGAGTGGGGTCCCAGTCCCCACTGCCCCAAGCCTGGCAGGACAGCGGACCTCTGGATGGGGACCTCCCAAGTTCTCCAGGATACCTGAATCCTGCTCTGTGGGTGTTGGAGCAATCAGACTGCACGAAAGGTTTTCTAGGTGGGAGGGAACTCCGTCAGGAGCCCCCAGTTTCGGCCAGAAACTGAAGCTCAAAATACCAGATCGCTGTGAGGAGTTGTGAGCTTTCCCTAGAGGAGAGAACGGGGGTTTTTGGAGAAGACCCAGGGGTTCCTTCAGAGTTTGCTGCTGAGCTCCCTGTATTCTCCCCACAGTTTAAAGGCTGGACTAGACGGGTTCTGGGTGCCTTGTGCCTCCTTGTTCTTGACAGCCCCCAACCCCGACCCCTCTCAGCAGGGGGTTGGTCCTGAGGTTAGTCATCATATGTTTGTGTTTGTCCCTTTACCTCCCAAGGGTACTAAGGGAGGTGCTCTCCTGGTGGAAAATAAAGTCAAGAGACAGAGGGGGACAGCACATGGATCCCCCGCAGAGCAGAGCAGCCTGGCTCTCCTGGTGCCTGCCGTGCGTCTGTGCGTCCTGCTCCTCTCAGCCTCATCATGTGGGTGTGAATTCCCTCTGAAGTGTGTGAGGCCCTTGCCTGTCTGTGCATCAGAGACAGCTGGGTCAGCCTGGGTAAGGCAGATACCACCAGCCAGCGTCACGCTCTGAGACAAGCTCACTCACCACTCATACTCAGCACCACTCACCACCCTTCCCCAGGCACCCTGTCTCTTCCATCCGTTCCTGGTGCCCTTGCAGGCCAGTGTTGGGTGTCAGGCAGCAATGAACATGGATAACTAGTGGTGGTGGAGGAAATTAGTCAACTCACCAGTGAGCCAGTGCTGGCTGTGCCACTAGGCAAGGGGAGGGGCAGAGGCCTGGCTGCCCAGCCTGGCTTCTCTTCCAGGCCCTCATCTTGACAGGCCACATTGGGCAAGATGAGGCTCAGCCCAGGAGCTTCTGGGGATGGAAATGTTGATGAAATCTTGTGTGTTGCCAGGACAACTTTCATTTCTATCCTGCCACACCCAGGCCTGGCCAGAGCCTCCTACAATGAAACACAGAACAGATTCTAGGAACGCATGGGTTTCAAGAGAAAGCAAAATCCCATCCTGGGAGACCTGCCCCTAGAACCCTGGGTCCTCAGACGGCTCAGTCAGGAAGGGCAGCAGGAATGATCATCCCCACTTTGCAGATGGGAAACCGGAGGCTTAGCGAGGAAGTGGCTTTTCGGATTCCAGGAGAGCCTCTGGAGGCCTGCCTGCCCCTGTGGAGTGCTGTGGGGTGCTAACCTGGGACCCAGAGGCCCCTTGGCATTTGCTGGCAGCCTCCCAGCTGCATTCCTCAGCATGGAGCCTGAGGGAGAGAGGAGGCCTGGGACAAAGGTGGACAAAGGTTGTTTACCCGGAGGTGCCTCTGTGTGTGTGTGTATGTGTGTCTAGGAGGTGAGAGAAGATTCCAGAGGGCTGCTGGAGTGTCGGGGGAGGGGTGTGGGTGCGGGTGCTGGGGGCGCATTGTGGGCTGGTCGTGCCAGGGAGGGGCAGGTGAAGAGTCTGGCCCTTCTTGGCCCAGAAGCTGCGGAGCCTGGAGGAAGGAAAGCTGCCAGCCGCTCCCCCAACATCCCCCTTCACATAAAAGGCTGAAGGGCGCAAATAGGGCATCACCTCGGTAGGTTAATTCCCGCACCCCCGCCTCACCCCGCTGGAGGGCGGGTGGGGCAAGAAGAGAACAAAGGAGAGGATGTGAGCCGGGAGTGTGGGAGGGTCTGAACCCAAATGGGAGGGGTCCGTGAAGAGGGTCCCTGTCCGCCCCTCCCCCCGTCTGGCTCCCTGATTCCTGGGTAAGGGGTGTGCAGGGAAGAGATCGTCCTGGGGCCAGAGCTGGGGCTTAGCACTGGAGAGAACCGGCTCAGCTGTGGGTGGGAGCCAGGCCTGGGTCCCTTGGTGCCCCGCCCCCTTCGCCGCTTCCAGTTGTTCCCACACCTGCTGCTTGGTCTTGAAGCCTAGGCCTCCACTCCGCCCACTGCAATGGTAGAAGCTCCAGTTTACAAGACACCCCTACCCCCACATCACACGCCCTAACTGGGGAAGTTGGGCTTGGACACAGCCTCCCTGGGCCTTTCCAGAGCTGCCCTCACGCCCTGTGCTTTCTGGGACCCTCTTGGTCAACTGGGTCGGGGAGGGAAGCGCAGAGAACAGATGTTTCACGGGAGTGACTATTGAAGCCTCCCACCACCCTCCCACCACCCCAGCCCAGCCTGGCTTAGGATCCCTTTTTCTTCCCCGGCAGGAACTCCCCGACCCCAGGTGGAAATTCCTGTGTCCAGTGGACAGACCCTGCTTGCGATAGGGTCAGGGAATGAGGGAGAGGGGTGGGCAGAGATTGGTGAGGTGGAGCAGGAGGAAGCTGTCAGGGAGTGGGGAAGGGGGTCCAAAGGGAAGTAATGGTATTGGGGGGAAAGGTAGCCAGGTGCCATTGCCCCTGTTGGGAACAGGCAAGTGTGGCACTGGCCCTTTAAGTGGGGGTGCCAATTAGTGCCCTCCCCCAACCAACCCAATTCATGGGCACACTGAGCATGTGCAGGGGCTGTGCATGTGGGGAGGGGAGGGGAGGGGAGGGGAGGGGAGGGGAGGGGAGGGGAGGGGGGGCATACATTCCGGAGGGAGCTTCTCATCCCCCTACTTCCGGTAGCTGCCCCCACTTCTCCTTCCTGGGTCTGACAAAGGAGCCCATGGTGCTCACCCAATCCCTTCCCCCACCCCAGGCCCCAGGGGGTGCTGCCCTCTGCAAGTGCTGAAGCTGTCATGGGTGCTGGCCAGGCCCTCTCTGCCCTGGGGAGTCTCCTGGCCGCCTGGAGGTGGCACACACGTAGCCCAGTGCCAGCCTCACTTCCCTGGTGTGGGCGGCGGCGAATCTTCCTGCTGCCTACGTGTTCCATTTCATTCCATTGGTGCCAGGGTTTTTAAAAGAACCATCCACCTGTGATGCCACTTTGAAAGTGAAACAGCTCAAAGGATGCAGGCCCTACCCCCCCACCAGGACCTTCCAGTCAGAGAGGAAGCAAACAGCCCAGAGGCTGCAAGGGCCTTCCCTGAATCCCACTCCTTCTGCTTCTCCCCTGCTGGCCAAGGAATCAAAGTCAGCTTCCTCCAGACTACCTTCACCTGCAGCCTGGGACCCTCCCTCGAACCTTTCCACCACCTCAACCTTACCTGTTTCTGCCAAGTCTTCCCCTCTCCCAGCCCTCAGCCCTTCCTGTTACCTCCCCTACCCCTTTAGCACTTGTCCACTCTTAGCTACTGGTACCATTATTTTTCTTTTTTCTTTCTTTCTTTTTTTTTTTTTTTTGGAGACAGAGTCTCACTGTTGCTCAGGCTGGAGTACAGTGGTGCGTTCTCAGCTCACTGCAACCTCTGCCCCGCCTGGGTTCGAGCAATTCTCCTGCCTCAGAGTAGCTGGGAGTAGCTGGGATTACAGGCGCCTGCCACAATGCCCAGCTTATTTTTGTATTTTTAGTAGAGATGGGTTTTCACCCTGTTGGCCAGGCTGGTCTCGAACACTTCTGACCTCAGGTGATCTTCCTCCCAAAGTGCTTGGATTATAAGCGTGAGCCACCGCGCCCAGCCTATTTTTCATTCTTTTTTTGTTTGTTGTTTTGGTTTTTGAGATGCAGGTTCACTCTTGTTGCCCAGGCTGGAGTGCAATGGCGCAATCTCAGCTCACCGCAACCTCCGCTTCCCAGGTTCAAGCAACTCTCCTGCTTCAGCCTCCCAAGTAGCTGAGATTACAGGTGCCTGCTACCATGCCCAGCTAATTTTTATATTTTTAGTAGAGACGGAGTTTCACCTTGTTGGCCAGGCTGGTCTTAAAAACTCCTGACCTCAGGTGATCCGCCCATCTCAGCCTCCCAAAGTGCCAGGATTACAGGCCTGAGCCACTGCACCCAGCCTATTTTTCATTCTTGAAGTGAAATTTACATGCCACGAACTCGCCCCTTTAAAATTGAACAAAGGCCAGGCGTGAGTGGCTCATGCCTGTAATCCCAGCACTTTGGGAGGCTGAGGTGGGCGGATCACCTGAGGTCAGGAGTTTGACACCAGCCTGGCCAACAGGGTGAAACCCCATCTCTACTAGAAAATATAAAAATTAGGTCGGGCACGCTGGCTTACGGCTGTAATCCCAGCACTTTGGGAGGCCGAGGCGGTAGATCACGAGGTCAGGAGTTTGAGACCAGCCTGACCAACATGGTGAAATCCCGTCTCTACTAAAAATACAAAAATTAGCTGGGCGTGGTGAAGGGCACCTGTAATCCCAGCTACTCAGGAGGCTGAGGCAGGAGAATCGCTTGAACCCGGGAGGCGGAGGTTGCAGTGAGCTGACATGGCACCACTGCATTCCAACCTGGGTGACAGAGTGAGACTCTGTCTCAAAAAAAAAAAAAGAAAGAAAAAAAGAAAAAAAAATTAGTTGGGCGTGGTGGCATGCGCCTGTAATCCCAGCTACTTAGGAGGCTGAGACAGGAGACTCTCTTGAATCCAGGAGGCAGAGGTTGCAGTGAGCTGTGATTGCATCACTGCACTCCAACCTGGGCAACAAGCGAGACTCCTTTTCAAAAAAAAAAGAAAATAAAAAAAGTGAACAAGGCCAGGGCATGGTGGCTCACACCTGTAATCCCAGCACTTTGAGAGGCCCAGGTGGGAAGATTGCTTGAGCCCAAGAGTTTGAGACCAGCCTGGGCAACCAAAAAACAGGCAAACAAACAAAACAGTCAGGTGTGTTGGTACACATCTGTAGTCCCAGCTACTCAGGAAGCTGAGGTGGAAGGATTGCTTAAACTCAGGAGGTCAAGGATACAGTGAGCCGTGATTGCATCACTGCACTCCATCCTGGGTGACAGTGAGACCTTGCCTCAAAAAAACAAACAAACAAACAAAAAAACTGGTCTCAGTGGCTCATGCCTGTAATCCCAGCACTTCAGGAGGCCAAGGCTGGTAGATCGCGAGGTGGGGGGATGGAGATCATCCTGGCTAATGTGGTGAAACCCTGTCTCTACTAAAACTACAAAAAATTAGCAGGGCACAGTGGCACGTGCTTGTAGTCCCAGCTACTCAGGAGGCTGAGGCAGGAGAATTGCTTGAACCCAGGTGGCGGAGGTTGCAGTGAGCCAAGATTGCATCACCGCACTCCAGCCTAACAACAGAACGAGACTCCCGTCTCAAAACAAACAAACAAACAAACAAAACCAAAACAGGCCGGGCGCGGTGGCTCAAGCCTGTAATCCCAGCACTTTGGGAGGCCGAGACGGGCGGGTCACGAGGTCAGGAGATCGAGACCATCCTGGCTAACACGGTGAAATCCCATCTCTAAAAAAATACAAAAAACTACCTGGCAAGGTGGCGGGTGCCTGTAGTCCCAGCTACTCGGGAGGCTGAGGCAGGAGAATGGCATAAACCTGGGAGGGGGAGCTTGCAGTGAGCTGAGATCCGGCCACTGCACTCCAGCCTGGTCGACAGAGCGAGACTCCGTCTCAAAAAAAAAAAAAAAAAAAAAAAATGTGAACAACTCAGTGGCATTTAGTACATATTCATGATGTGTCCAACTGCCACTTCTAGTTTCAAACATTATCACTACGAAAGGAAACCCCGTACCCATTAAGCATTTACTCCCCATTCCCTCCTTCCCTCGCCTGGCAGCCACCAATCTGCTTTCTGTTTCTATAGGTTTTCTCATTCTGGATATGCTGGTGGTAAAGCCACGAAGGGAAAACTCTCTGGTCTCCTGTTGTCTGTACCTGAAACGCACAGACTCCCTGAGGGTGCT